AGAATAAAAAGCAAAAGCCACCTTATTCCCTCATTCTTCCATTACCGCTCTTCTCCAAAGTGACTGCTATCATGAACTCGAGTATGTCCTTTTAGAATTTTATCTTTAAAATTTTTCAGTTTTACTTAAACAGGTAACCTGCATATTCAAAATTGAAGTCAAAAGCACAGAGACATATGTAGGGAGAAGTTGGTCTTCTGGGAACTTCTCTTCCTGAGCAGCCTGAGCAGCCTCCTCAGCTGTGACTGCAGAACCAGTAGTGTTCTCCAGAGGGCGTCTGCACCCGCACAGCACGGACGCCTGTATCTTCACCCGCCCCCGCCTGTCAGCCCGCTGGGTCCGGTGCTCTTCACGGGGCCGTGGCTCCTCTCAGTATAGATCTGCCTCCTCTGAGGACTGTGCATGCCTCCGCTGTATGGATGTACCCGAAGTGCTTTAACTAGCACTCAGTGGGTAGAGCTAGTTACTTGTGCCGTCCACATTGACTCACTCAAATTCATGACAACTTAAATGTTATTTTTAATTTTTCCTGTCAGTCTAATTATTGTTTCTTAATAGGAATGTCTCTTTTCCTTACATTGCTTTTAAGACCTCTTTTGTTTTTCGCATTTTCCCATTTTATTATGATACTCTTAGATATGTATTCCTTTTTATTTATTCTGATTACTGCTCATTGAGTGTGAGTGTGCGTGATTCATTAATTCTGGAAAAGTATCAACTATTTGAATATCGCTTCTTTGCCGTACACTCTATTTTCTCCTTCTGGAACTTCTTTTGGACATATGCTGAACTGTCCCCTTCTATCTGTCATGTCTCTTAATCCCTCATTCACATTTTTCATCTGTTTATCTCTTTGTGCTCCATTCCATGTAATTGTTCAGATTTATCATCTAATTCACAAAATTGTCAAGTCTAATGAAATTGATTTCAGGGACTATGTTTTCATTTATAGAAGTTTTATTTTGCTTTTGTCTAAGGCAGGAGTCAATACTCCCACCCCCCACTGTGGGTGGGCCCATGTCTTACTGTCTCACCTCTGCGTTGCAGTGAGATCCAAACCTGTTGGTCCTGAGATGGGCACCTGCCAACAGCCTCAGCCCCACCACATATGCACACAGGCCAGGGACATTGCATCTCAAGCTCTCCAGGCTGGTTCTCAGCTTGGGCCCTGGGGAAGCCACTTACTGTGTAAGCTCAGCAGTGCGTTTAACAGGGCGTTTGTTCCTACTACTGTCGAGTTGAGTCCGACTCCTAGCGACCCTGTGGACAGCAGAGCAGAACTCTGTTTCGGTCTTTTTGTACCATTCTCTCACGTTCTGGCAGCTCTATCAGACAATGCTCCGCTGCTATTCACAGGGTTGTCATGGCCAGTTTTTTCGGAAGTGGGTGGCCAGGTCCTTCTTGCTAGTCTGCCTTAGTCTGGAAGCTCCGCTGAAACCTGTCCACCGTGGGTGACCCTGCTGGTATTTGAAATACTGGTGGGCATAGCTTTCAGGAGCACAGCACATGCAGCCACCACGTATGACAACTGCCTGACCGGGAAACACACCTGGGCCGCAGTGGTGAGAGTGCCGAATCTTAACCACTAGACCACCAAACAGGTATTAGTTATATTTTATCCAGCAGTATTAAGTGATTTTCAGTGGGAGGGTCAACAAGTTGTCTGAAACAGAAGCCCTATCTTTTGCAACGAAAAAACATTGCTGTGGGTTAATGACCTTGTGCATGTGTGTATTTGTACACATATATTAGACATATCCTAGATAAATTCCTAAAAGTGGAATTGCCAGGCCAAAAGTGAAGTATAGGGGCCCAGCCCCATGGCCTAGTGGTTAAGTTCAGCATGCTCTGCTTTGCCAGTCTGGTTCTCGGGTTTGGATGCCAGGTGTGGACCTACACCACTTGTCAGCTATGCTGTGGTGGTGACACACATATAAAATAGAGGACGATTGGCACAGATGTTAGCTCAGGACTAATCTTCCTCAGGAAAAAAAAAAAGGGAAAAGAAAAAGTGACATATATTTTTCATTTTGTTGGATACTGCCAAATTACTCTCCAAGGAAAGATCTCTGCTCGCATCAGCTGTCTGTAAGGACCTCTCTCTCCAGGTCTGATCAGCATGGAGGGTCCCTTAGAGTGTATTTCCAAACTTTATCTTGGCTCAGTAGATAACTGACAAGTGGTATTGCACAGTAGTTTTATTTTGTAATTTCTCTCGTTACCAGTGAACTTGAACATCTTACGCATGTTTAAAAGTCGTTGGTATTTCTTTTTCTGTGAACTGTTTTTTTGTATCTTTTTTCTCATTTTAATATTGGGTTGTCATTCTTTACTATCAATTTTAAAGGAAGTCTTTTTTTTTTTTTTTCAAGAAATTAGCCAGTCCTCTCTGTTGCAGACATTTTCCCCAGTTTGTCATTTGCCTTGACTTTATTTTACCCCCATGTGGGAAAAACTTAAACACTTTTATGTACAGTTATATTTTCCTTTCTGGCTTCTGGGTTTTTAATGTTTAGCAAGGCCGTCCCTATTCTGAATATGTTTGTAGTTTAGTTATGTTTAACCCTTGGAGCCATGTATAATTTATTTTGGTGTAATGTAGATGGTAGAGCTCCAAGTTGAGATAGTTATAGGGAATTTTCCCTTTCATGGTTGTTATAAGTGGGATCTTTAGTTACATCTTTAAAACTAGTGGTTTTAAAACAACTAGTGCTTGTTTGTACATAAGATAGTTACTGATTTTGACATAGTAATTTACATTTATTAGTAGTGAATGATCTTGGATTGTCATCTCTGATGATAAATTTGTCCAACTCTCATTTTCTTCTTTTATCTAATTGTATCTAATTTTTTTAAACTATGTGAAATAATAATGGTAAAAGTGGATCACTATATTTCTTAAAGACTTTACCTTAGGAATCAGTGTTATATTTCATCAAGTTTCTTTTCAGCACCCGTGGTAGTGGCCATGTGGTTCTTATCTGTTAGAGCAGTAGGGTGAACTGTATTGAGAGCTCCGAGGTGGATGCCACCTGTTTGTAGCAGGTTGCTGTGGATTCTGGTGGTTAACATTTTATTGGGGTCCTAGCACTGATGCAGATCCACAGTTGTCTTTTGTCCAGCTCTCGTGGTTGGGTTTTGGTAGTAGTGGAATGCTGGCTTCCCCTAGAGAGCTGGGAAGCTCTCCTCCTGTGCTGTGCAACAGTGTGTAAGCCCTGGGGGCCGTTCCTTCCTGGTCGGGCCAGTGTCACTTGTTCTTTTCCTGCGGGGACTGTTGCTCCTGGACAGCTTTCCCAGCTTGCTCTTTGTTACTTTATCTATTTGGATTTTCTATCTCCTTATGGTCAGTTTTAGTAATTCTTATTTTCCTAGAAAGTCATTAATTCATCTAGGTTTTCAAATTTGGAGATTTAAAAAATTAACTCAAGAAATAGAAAACCTGAGGCTGGCCCCATGGCTGAGTGGTTAAGTTCGTGTGCTCCACTTCGGCAGCCCAGGGTTACACCGGTTCAGATCCTGGGCGCAGACATGGTACCGCTCATCAGGCCATGCTGAGGCAGTGTCCCACATGCCACAACTAGAAGGACCCACAGCTAAAAAGAATCTACAGCTATATACTTGGGGGATTTGGGGAGGAAAAGCAGAGAAAAAGAAAAAAGAAGATTGGCAACAGTTGTTAGCTCAGGTGCCAGTCTTTAAAAAAAAAAAAAAAGGAAAGAAAGAAATATAAAACCTAAATAGATGGCCATGGCTAAAGGAGCTGAATTACTAAAAAAAAAGCCCAAAAAAACAAAAAAACCTGTCTACAAAAAAAATTAGGTCCATGTAATATTTTGGTTTTTAGGCAACTTTTACCAAACATTTAATAAACTGTACCCTTCGTCATTGTAAAGTACTCTCATCAAATGCTCTTTTCTGCTCTGAAATGTGCCTTTCCTGGTATGGAATCGTCACCTCTCTTCCTTGTCATTTGCATATGTACCTTTTGTGCGTAGCACAGACTGAGCTTTTCTTTGGCCCGTGTGCAGCCCTTCTTGTTAACAGGTGGGTCTGCTCCGACGGCATCTGTTGGCCCAGCAGACGTGTTCGGACCTCACGTAAGCCGTCGTCTTCTCGTGCTGCCTTGTCAGTGTTTGTTGTGTACGTCACCACGTGGCCTGTGTGTTGGCTCCTCACGGTCCTTCTGGTCTTTTGCAACATCACTTTCTTTCAGAGAGTATCCACAGGTAACTCACTTTGAGTCATTTTCTGTTTCAAACAAGGTCTTAATTATGCCTTCATCCTTGGTAGGTAAGCTAGGTATAGAATTTTCAGTTCAAAATAATTTCCTTTCACAGCTCTGAAAATAATTTGTGTGTGTCTGTGTGCACACACTCAGATAACTACGAGTTTAGGACATAGAATGTGTTTCACACAATCCCTTCTCACCACGTTTTTTGTGTTGAACACATGCTTACGATCACACTCAGCGTCTTAGCATCACGTCTGTCCAGCTCCCGGCTAGACGGCAGGGTCTTCCCAGGGCAGTGCGCCTTCTCCTTGTGGACTCGCAGCAGAGGGTCTGTCAGACTCAGCTGCACTGCGAGTCTGCCACCTGCAACTTTAGCTCTCGTGGCTTCTTTGAGGAACTAGCTATGTTGGTATTTCTAGTGGGTACGAGATTTCCATCTCATTAGCTAATTTATCTCAATGTGGAAATTCAGCATATACTTGCATAAAAAGTAGTTTTTAAAGAGGTTCTTAAATTCAGGTCATTACCAGGCAGGTAATTATTCCAAGACTTTAGGTAAGTGACTGCCCAGTGTCCACGCACTCTCACCGTGATTCAGTCATGCTCGCTCCCACTGCAGATCTCCCTCCACTTGGGGTGGGGTTTACGTCCCGATAAACCTATCCTAAGATGTAAATATTGAAAATGCATCGTTACAGTAAGAAGTTGAAAAAGAGCAACAGTTTTCAAGGATTTTTTTAAAGCAGTAGAAAAGTTTACACACACAAAGTGTTATTTCACAAGATGATTTATTTAAGTGTGTGTGTGTATTTTTCAAAAGTAAAAAAAAACAGAACAGTCTATTTAGACATATTCATCCTTCAGCAAATGTTTGAAGTGAGATGAATCCCAAAGTTGACCGCATCTCAGAGTTGTGCAGTTCAACAGTAGATTGAATTCCGGGCTGGAACCCACCGTCGTAAAGTCAAAAAATTGTAAGTCGAACCATCGGAAGTCAGGGACCATCTGTATAGACTCATTCTCTCTCCCAATTTCGACAAGATGGTGATGAACTTACAAAGTCATCAGAGTTAAATACTCGAAAAGTGTTGTTTTCCCAAGCAGGTGAGGGTTTGGGTTGCAGACAAGTATAGCTGACTTACCTTGTGTCCCTAACAGAATATTATTCTACCAGCAAAACTACTGTGCTGGGCGGTCAGCTTACCCTTTGGACAGTCTTCATAGGCTGACACCCGTGTGGAGGCATGGTGCCCGTCACATCTCAACTTCCTTGCACATGGACTTGCGCCCAGGGCAGGTGTCTTCCCTGTTGAGCAGATAAAGTTAGCGACAGGGCAGCTGATAGACTTGTCCTGGGTCGGTCTTGTTCTATGTGCTTTTAAATCATTCTGATTAAATAGTTGTGAACAGTTCATTTCTGTTGTGTCTTGGCCTCCTGGGATAGTGTACTCATAAGGACATAAAAGTTTGATATCAGTATTCAGATGTTTGCAACTGAAAGCATTTTATATGCTATTTTCGTAGCATCGTTGTGCACAGACCAGCACACCCGAGGAGGAGTGTGCATCCTGGGCTTTAATCCCATTTGCCTCCTCTGTGCTTGTCTTGGGCCTTCCAGGGTGAGGATCCACGATCTCCGCACTGACAAAATCACCCTGTCGCTCTCTGCCCACCAACTTGGGGTCTCCGCAGTCCAGATGGATGACTGGAAAATCGTCAGCGGAGGCGAGGAAGGCCTGGTCTCTGTGTGGGATTATCGGATGAACCAGAAGCTGTGGGAGGTGCATTCGAGGTAAGTAGTTCCTCAGGCATTTTCAGTAATAACAGCAACAGTAGTGATAACAGTAGTCAGCCTCTGAGCCAGGCAGGCGCTGGGCTAAGTGCTTCCATGTTGCTGTGTGATCCTCACCATAACCCTGTGAGCTGGCTGCTGCTCTTATGTCCATGTTTCAGAGGAGGAAACTGAGGCTCAGAAATGGAGCTGGTCAGTGGAGGGAAGTTCCTCTCCCGCTTCATTAAAGCTGCTGTAATCCATGCCCAGTGCAGGTGGAGGCCCTGACGTGATGCCTAGCTGAGGTGCAGCCACCATCCTCTATGCCAGTCTCCACACGCATGATGGTCACTTTCTGCCCGTTTCTGGGACTTTCTAAGACACTGTTTGGAAGGACACTTAGGACTGAAAGTATTCAGGCTTCAGCTAAGGAGGAATTTGTAATTTCAACTTTTAACTCTCACATTCAAGAGAAATAAATACCATCCCAAGCACAGGCCGCTGGCTTCCTGGATGTAGGTATGTTTGCATTAATGGGGCCTCACTGCTTCAACATGGTCGAGCCTGCTCCTGACCTTTAAAGCAGAGGCAGCCTCACCTGGAGCAGGGTCAACTGGAGCTGACCTGAGGCCATCCCCTCCCCCACATTCCCCCAGCCCTGCATGCCTGCTTTTGAGGCAGCTGGGAAGAAAGGCGACAAGCCTTCTCCCAGCTGTCCCTCAGTACTGCTGTAAAGAAACATTTGGGGGCAAGTGACCGTGAGGACAGAGGAGAGTGGCCACAGATGCCAAGGCCTGCAGCTACAAATGGAGGGTTTTCCCCTCTAACTGCAAGTCCTGATAAACCAGACCTATGAGAAGGCAGGGCAGTCTGCATTGTGAGTACAAGAGGCGGCCAGGTGGAAAGAAGAATTGGTGTCTTCCTTGGAGGGCAGTGGTAGTGGGGGCTTCCGCCAGCAGCTGTTCTCAGACTTGAGCCCGGGGGCGTGGGGCATGTCCGCCCGCCCAGCTCTGGCTCTGGACATCAGCTGTTTTTCTGATTTCTGTGGTGATGCACTGAGTTGCCACTAGGTGGTGCCAACAGGCAACTAAAACTCTCACATATTAGCATCATAGAAATATTTGCCTTTAAGGGAACCCTTTTATTTATTTTGAAGAGCTGGCTCAGCCTGGCCTCTAGGACGGTTCCCACTGCAGTCCGGGGCCCCAGGGACTGCCACCAGCCCCACTTAGTTCCCTAGGCCTGCACTCCAGCAGGTCTCGTTTTTCTCTCCCTGAAAAGCTGCACTCCCTCGGATGAGTCATTCAGGTGAAGCCAGGGTGAGTGAGGTCTTCTCCAGAATCGTCGTCCCGTCCCAGCATCTGCCTTCCTAACTCGTGTGTAAATGCACACAGTGGCCGCCACAGTTAATGGCTTGTCCCTCATGAGGGCACTGTTTTCACCTGCACAAGGCCGATGCCTCGCTCTTCAGTCTGCTGCGCAGAATTTGTATACTTGCTCAAGTCCTCGCTGCCCGTGCACACTGCTGATCCTGATTCTCTTCTGAGTTCTGGTCCAGCTCTCGCTTGGTCACTTTCCTGTCCTGCCTCACTGGGCCCCTAGTGAAGTCCTGTAACAATATTTTCCTCTGGTTGGTGCCCCAAACCCTGGACTGACAGGGCCAAGCTCAGACTCCTCCTAACCTGCATTGCTGTCCAGAGGATCTTCTGCTCTCGCCAGGAAGCCTGCCCCTGCCCTGGCCATCCCAGGAGCAGCCCTGACTCAGCCCGAATGGGCCTCTCCCTCGTCCCCTCCTTTGCTACCCTCTGCCTTTCTGAAAGGGCCTGGCTGATGGGCCAGCACCTCCCGGGGCCTGGTGGACCGTTTCATCACATGGTGATGTTCCTCCTCCCAGGTGCTGAAGTCTGTGTCCTATCTTTGTGGCTTGTAACATCTCTCATGCTCTAGAAACACTGGCTCTGTGTGGGAGTGTATCTTACCTTCTTAGCTAGTTAGCATTAAAGAAGATGTCCAGTCCAAGCAGATGCCTACCCTCGGAATGATTCCTGTGTCCCTGGCTCAGTGCCGTGGCCAGTGCTGTAGGCAGTGGATAAGAGTTTTTAGAGCAAACAAAAGCCTTTGTTCCACATACTACACAGATTGTAGATCTACGTAGTTCTACAACTGCATAGATCTCAAGCCGTTTCCTTCCAGGATTTTCTGAATATGCTTTCACAACCCAGAGTACATGTGTCATTTGTAGTCCTCTGACTTAGGACTAGGGGACCTTTATGGGACACCACTAAATTCACTCCGTCACCCCCGTGCCCTGCAGAGAAGGAACCTGGCTTGGAGAGCTTGAGTGACTTGTCCAAGGCCAGCCGGCCAGGAGGCAGAAATGGGGCTGTTGTCCACGGCATGCTGAACTGTCTCAGGTTGAGTGTGTCCTGCATGTGTGAACACACCCAGTTGTTGGGGCCGTCAACTGGGATGCACGAGGGGCATTCAGACTTCTTTACAGAGAAGGGCGCAGAGTGTGGCCTTGCTCAACCCAGCTTTGGGAACCGAGGCAGACACAGCGTCCTCCTCCCTAAAAGAAAAGCTCGGCTCAGAGGGTTCTAGAGTTCCTCGCAGCTGTAAGCTTCCGAGACCACGGTAGCTAACGTGGGGCATGCTCAGTTTCCATGGGACTGACCTCGCAGGACTTCTCTCTCCCGCTGTGTTCCAGACACCCCGTTCGTCACCTCTCCTTCAACAGCCACAGCCTCATCACGGCCAACGTGCCCTACGAGAGGGTGGTACGCAGCGCCGACCTGGATGGCTTCAGCACTCACAGGAGGTCAGTGGGCTGGGCTGGATTTGTGGGTGTTCAGAAAAGCCCTTCTTAGTTTGATTTATCATTGAACGCCTCCCCCATGCCACATTGCTCCCTTCAGGATGTACCCTTGGGCATAGCCTTCTTTCCATAGGAATTGGGGAGTTACATGTAGATGCGATAGAGTGAATTAGCCTATAACACTTGCTGAGTGCCTGTTTTAAGCGCTTCCCCAACAGTAGCTCACTGCTTCTGTAGACAGCTGTGTGGGGTCGGGAACACAGAGAGGGAAGGCCAGCCATGTGTGCCGAGCACCCGAGACAGGAGGCTTAGGGACCTGTTGTGGTTAGAATCCTAGTGACAGTGGCAAAGCCCGGTCCTCTGAGTGGAGTCCCGTGCCTCAGCTGCCGAACAGGACTGACCCCCATGCAGGTGGTGCCGGTGCCTCCCTCCCAGCACTTAATTCCTGCCATCCAACTTGCCCGCTCACCAGTTTCTCTCCAGTCTCAGGGTCTTGAGTGTCCCACACACTGTGGGCCCAAAGGTCAGATCTGTTAAGTCGAATCGCTGTCCTGTCTCAAGCAAATGCCTGCTGCAGAGACAGCAGCCGGAGGGGCGAGGGCCAGTCACGCAGTGCTGATCCTGTTGCCCAATTTGTGCTTCCTCTAGACACCGGGGGCTGGTCCATGCCTACGAGTTTGCAGTGGACCAGCTGGCCTTCCAGAGTGCTCTTCCCATCTGCCGGTCATCCTGTGTCACCACAGCGGGTTACAACTACGACCTTGCGCTCGCGTTTCCCTATGACAGTATTTAGGGAGTAGCCTCACTTGGGGGCAGGGCGGAAATGGGAAGAACCAATGTTAGGAATTTGACAAGTAGGCAGAGCTCTGCCCCAGGTTGTAAGTGTTTGGGGAAGAACACCACCCCAGGGTCCACTTGTGTGACGCCGCACATTCCTGAGTTGCCTTCGCCTTTCTCCTTTGCCCGCTTCTTTTCCTCGAGCGCCTGTGAAAAGCGGGGTTTGTCAGGGCTTGTTTCACCTTACTCTGTTCCTTCTGTCTTACGGTTTTGAGTGCCTCACACTGATGACTCAAATTCATACCTCCTTGCCCTCGCACACCTCCTCCAGCTCAGCCCACACCTGCTCCCACCTGTCTCAGGAGTGGCCCCCCAGCCCGAGCTGGGATCCCCGCTCTCCTGGCCGCCTCGTGGATTTCCCCATATCGTTGTGTACACTCAGCACAGGGTCTTGCTGCAGCTCTCCAGATCAGGCCCGGCCTTATCACTGCTTCCCAAGGCCCCTCTGTGCCTGCTCCTGCCTGCTGGCCAGCCTTCCAGTCTCCAGACCTGTCCTCTCTGGGGGCCCTTCTGTGTGCTGGGCTCTGAGCCTGCAAGGCCCCAACACCCACCCATCCTTGGGATCTGAGAGCCAGTGTTGGGTCAGGGTGGTCTTCTCTGACACATCTGACCACCATCCTCCTCCATAAAGCTGGGGTGGCACTTCTTTCTCCTGGCTCTTATCGCCATTCATGATTATGTATTTATACAACTACTTCATTAATGACTGTTCTGCTTCCTGTTGTGTCTACCGCATGTGATACAAAGTAGGTATTTTCTACATGTTCATTGAATAAACAGCCATCCTCCCAGTGGGATGGAAGGTGATTCTAGGGCAGAGAATGAGAGGAAGAGCTGTCAGAGGAACCATGATCTTAAATCACTGAGATAAACAGGGCAACAGAAGAGAACGGTTGTCCCATTTGATCGATAGCCTCCATTTCCTAAGGATTAGGAGGGCAAGCTGTTGATTACTCTTGATCCAGGTTGTTCTCAGCAGCAGCCACCTGACAGACCTCAGCTTCTCAAAGCAAAGAACTGACAGAATTACAAGGGAAACAACGTCCTCACTCAGTGGGCAATCAACAGATCGAATCGTAAAAATATTTAAGGATTGGAGGATTTTTTTTTTTTTTGGTAATTTACAAGCTCGATCCGATAGATTTAAACATAGTTTTGTACCTTTTCAAATACCCATAGACCATGCACAAAAAATGACCATGTATGAGACCACAGAGAACATCTCAGATTGCAAAAGACCATATAGGCCAAATTCGGTGATCACAATCCCCAAAGCAGTAATATTAGACATCCGCAAAAAGCAAAATAATGAAAACATAAACACACTCCTGGAAATTCCAAACACTCCTGAATTAACTCACTTTTAAAGAGGGAAATAAAAATGGAAAACGAGCTCTCTAGACCAGAGTGACAGTGAAGGCACTGAACATCAAAATCCCGGGATGTGGCCAGAGGGGACAGACAGGAGCTGTGACGTTATAACAGAAGATCAGACAGACTGAAAATAAGTGAACTCCACCATCACCTCAGAGAGCTTAAGAAAGATGACAGTGATCCCAAAGAAAGTAGAAGAGTTAAATAAGGATAAAAGCACACATTCATATTTAATTTCAGTAAATAGAAAACCAACCAATAGTAAAGTTTACCATAAAGCCAAAAGCAGTTTTTGAAAAGACAAAATAGACAATCTTGATTAAAAAGGCATAAAGGACCATCAGAAACAGAACCGGAGGAAGTGGGCACAGTGGGTATGTCCTCATGGGGACGGTTGGCCACACTCCTCTAGAGAGCAGATGCTCTCCCGCCGGCTGTGAGCGCATCACGCTGGCGACCGCGCGCCTTTCCTCAGCACCCTGGAGCCCTTGAGTCGGGAAGGCTTGGATGGTTTCCCAGCTTGCTTAAGATACTCGGTCATTACAGATCCACGTCCGGCCAGAGAGGACGGTGGAGCCGAGTGGGAGCTGCGGCTAGGAGGCCTCACTTACCCGTGCAGAGCACGCTGCTTCCTCGGGCCACCTTCCTGGGAGGCAGCTCTGTCAGGAGGGTTGTCTGCTTCCTTTCAACCAAATTCCGCCACCAAGGAGGCCAGTCTGCAGTCAGCACACGGAGTATTCTATTTACTGTCATTGGTGTGTGGTGGTCTGACCCCCTCATGACCTCGCTGAATAAGGTTTCCGTCCCTCCTAGTCTTCATGCAGCTGGACCCCTGGGTAGAACAAGGCGCAGTCCTTTCCAGGTGGCGTCACAGTTCATTTTGCATTCCTTCTCCCTGCCTAGCTTTGTAGGAATTAAAGAGAATTCAAAAGAAGTTAGGCCCAGAAAAGTTTATCAGGATTAAAGAGTTTTAAGCTGTTGTTGCTCCCTGCTAACAGCTGGTCCAGTGCACAATTTTACAAGCGCAGGGTTGGTTTGGGTTTTTTCCCAGCCTGTTTATAATATCTCCCATTCCTGAAAATTGCCTGGGTTTTGTGAAGGAGAGTTTATCAGACCCAAACTGTAATCTCCAGGTACACCCACCTGAGTCAGTGTTTTCTGCTGGAACAAATTGGCCTGGTAGGGAAAGGATCAGAGTTCCTTTATAAACCAACGTTTACCCAGTGACTTAAAAAAAAACCTTGGCCCCTATCCACCCCTTCTGCTCAGCCCGTCTTACCTCTGTCCCCGTTGTCTGTTTTGAGGGAGCTTCTGTGCAAGTTCTGAGTCTTTAGTGGATTTGTCATCTCCTTTTCTTCTGTAGCTCTTCTGCTTCTCAAACTCTTCCGCTCTGTCTCCCCTAACACAAGACGCTCAGATGCTGCTGGGGGAGCCAGAGGCCGGAGGCCAGAGCTCTCATGTCTCGTCTTCAAATGCTGTGGGCCTTTGCTTTGTACTTGGTCTGTTGGTCTAATATTAAATTTTTAAATGTATTCATTGCTCCCGTTTCTTTCACCCGGGCAAGGTGGACACGCGAACCCCCTGGCATACCTCTTTCCCGGCTCTCTCCACCCCTTGCAGATCGCACCACCTTGCATGGTGGCCTCGTTTTCCAGTCCACGGTTAAGTAGTTTTTCCCAGAACCACCACTACAGGGGTTCCTAGCCTAGGATCCAAGAAACTCACAAGATTAAACATGAAATTGTGCATGAGTGCATTTTCTGGGAAGAAGTATGGCTCTGTCATCAGATGCTCAAAGGGGACCGCAGCCCCCTGAGAATTCCCTCTCTGCCACTAGACTGTGCTTTTCAGTCCAAGCCATGTGCTGCCGTTGCCCAGGCGAGAGCTGCTGTTTGAAAGACTCCAGGGAGGCCTCGCTTCCCCTGCGAGTCAGAGCCTCACCCTGGCTTACTGGGTTTCAGCCCACCAGAGGAAACACTGAATTTCACTGAGAGTCGAGTTTTGGTCCTTTCTGAAAGGGAAAGCTGACAGCCCCTTAGATGAAGCCCTCTGCCCCTGTATTTCTCTTCAGAACTAGAGGCCCCACATTTAAGGGGAGAGTGCTGCCCACTGTGCATTTAAATGACAAACACCAGCCACTGCAAACCCACCACTTATCCTTGTAGAGAAAGGGCTTCCCCTGGTGAGGACACGGCCTTCTACTGAAAACCATCTAGTGGCCTGCCACTATGGCAGGTCTGTGATAATGGGCTTAGACAGGAGCTGTCTCCTGCTTCCTCACTCGGGGCCTTTGCTTTGAGCAGCAGCTGCGGCAGCCGTGAGCTTCGGGTGCTGGCCAGCTCGGGCTGCAGCACACACAGACCTGCCCGCCTCACCCCGCGCGGCCAGGCCAGATGGCTCCCTGGCTGCTGCTGCGGGGGCCTGCAGCGATTTGGACGGGCTGCCTCTGCTGTGTGATGGCAGACTCCCTCTCGCTGGGCTCCAGCGGGCGCCATGTGAGCCCCAGCTCGTCTTCAGCCTCTGATGTTGAACATGGGCTTCCAGCAGCAGGCTTTCGATGGCTGTGCACCCGGGACCTTTTCTTTCCCTGGGAAGGGAGGGACACTCCTCCCTCCCCTGCTCCCACCCACTGAGCCCGTCATGTCACATCTTTTCTTCCCCTGCTCAGAGCTGGGACGAATACTGCCTTGTCACTTCTCCAAGATGGAGGTGGCAGCAAACCGCTTTTCTGCACATCCCTCACCCTTACTGCGCCCCATGAACCACTCTTAGGGTAAGGACCGGAACCTAGTCCCTTGCTGACCTGCTCAACAAGCAGATTAGAAGGGTGAGCAGCCACGGTGTGGCCATCAGTCTTCAGTCCTGGAGCAAGTTCCTCCACCACGGAACCCCTGCTGGCACTTGGTCGCTGAGTCTGGAAGAGCCCGGAGACAAAGGCAACGCTGGCACCTAGGAAGTTGTGTTTGAAACCCTGGCTCCTCCCACTCCACTCTCCAAGGCCTTCCCAAGGTCACAGTGTGGGAGGACAGCTTGCAAAGCAGGTGTGTGCAGAACCCTTGCCAAGGCAACTTGTATTTTTAACTCCCCATCAGCCTCTGTAAGTCGCTCCGCTGTTCACAGTGCCGCCGAGTGTAGCTTCAGCCTTGCTGACTGCAGGCGGGTGGGACAGGTTCAACAGCTCAGTGACAAGGACGGGATTCATACATAACCTGTCTCTCATTAGCAAAGCACAGAATGAACCTTCCAGGCCCTTGGACCAGAAAATAATGGAATTGTTTTGTTATAGTCTAGCAATAATTCCTTCCCTAAGAGGGTGCTTGGCCAAAATTGGAAGCTGTTGTCCTCTTACTCTGTTCCCTTATCCATAATTCATGTTTAACGTGGCTGCAGAATATTGCCCTGAGCTCATCCTATTAGATTTCCATTACATAGCCCTTTTGTAAGCCTACCAAACTGATGTGTTTGTGTCGAATTGTTGTGTTCATTTAACATCCAAAAGCTGAGTTCTGGTAACTTTTCCCCTTGGTAATATGGCAGTGTAGGACTAGATCCTGCTTTCCATCTGATTCCTGGCAAATGGGTGAAGCACATGGTGACCTCACCCCCATCCCGCAGGCTTGAGGACACTGTCCCTGCTCGTCTTCTCCACCCACAGCCTGAGGCCCTCCCAGCACAGACTTAGCTTCCTCCAAATATCTGACTTAGCATTGATTTCTGCCTATTTCCTTTTAGTCAGAGGTAAATTCCTGTGAGAAGGAAAGCTGTTAAGCACATTTATTGATTTCTCAGCTTGCCTGTTTCAGAACAAATTTCAGTACAAACTGAACTGATGAGCCAGCCCATCCAGGGAGGGGGGTGGGGGTGCACACCTGCCAGTTCGGCAGGTAACAGGAGCCGGTTCTGGGCCACCTGCCTCCGTCCTCCACACAGACGGCCCTGCCCAGATGGCCATCCTGAGACCTGTGCCTGGAGCAGTGAACTTGGCCTTTGTTAATCCAAGGCCTGCAGCCCGCAGCCTGTGGGGAATTAACTACCCTTTCCAGGAGCGGGTTTGCACCAACTGATAGGCAGCCTGCTCGCTCCCCGATGACCGAGTGCGCAGAAACAGTCTCATGCAGCTGGGTCCTGGGAGCCGGGCGGGCGAGCCCCAATGAGCCCTGCAGCCCATGCTCTGGAGGAAAGGAGCCCTAACCCACCAACTAGATGACACCCTCAGTGACTGAACAAACTGGTTGGCTTCTGAGCAGCATGGACTGGTTCATGGTGAACCAATCTCATCCTAATGAGCCGTTTAAGTAAGCCATGGCCCAAAGCTTCAGAGACATCAGGCTGGCCCTCAGTGGTCTGCCCAAGGGAAACGTTTGATGTGTGCCCACACCCTCGGACTAAAACTTGGAGCACTGGGGCTGATGAAGGATTATTATTTATAAAAACTGTGTTCATGAACTGCCTCTGTTGAGAAGAACAAAGTCAAAGCAAATTGGGAGAGTCCCAGAAAATCCAGGTCTCCGGTAGCCATGCCAGCCATCCTGAGCTCAGTGCTGCTGTGGGTCCATCTCAGTCACTTGGGGCAGGAAGGACAAGCGTGTGGGGAGGCGGGAGCGCATGCCTCTGCGAGGCTGCAGGGGTCCCTGGGGACGCTTCCTAGACAAGAACTAAGTGGCAGCAGATCCGTCCAGGGGACTTTCTAGAATCATCCTGCTGGCAGCCAGGAAACCCAAGACACTGCCCAGCTGCAGGGAAGGCCGGGGAGTGAGCAGGGAGGCCCGTCCACTGGCCCAGGAAACCACCCAGGGGTCTGCTTGCTGGTTGTCAGGGCTGCTCTCCCACTAGGCTGCCAGTGCCTTGAGGGGAGCCCTGTCTGCCCATGTGAATGCCAGCACGTTGGTGGAAGTGCAGAGCCCCACAGGGACTGCAGGCTGCCCTCTGCTCCCGCCCAGAGATGGGCTGCGAGGCCCTAACCGCCCGCCATACCCGCAGGGCAGCCCCAGCTGGCGTTCTGCAGGCACAGTGGGGTCAGAGGCGCTTGCTCACCTGTGACAAGACGCAGGCCAGAACCTCGGCAGCAGCCTGCCCTCTGAGGTCGTGTTTGCACCGAGCAACCAGGGCTTCCCAGGCTCCCCGCCGCCGAGGAGCGCCCCCTGCCTTGTGCTGTCCTCGCGGTCCTCCGTGCTGCGCAGCCATGCTTGCCTGAACGCGCCTTGCTGTGTGTCTGCTTTGGTTTTTAAAAAGATTTAAACACCAATGTTAGCCTCACCCCAAGCAACTTACTTGCTTCTATGTGCATGCAACAGCTCTGGAAGGATGGCGAGGAAAGGGGCTGATGGGGCCCAAACGTGCATGGGGTAAGGACTGCGGCATGCCTTTCTGTACCTTTTAAATTCTGAACCCCAACGTGTGTTTATGAGTAAGGTAAAGCACGCTTAATATCAGAACTATGAATCAGAGATTCAAGAATGCAAATGATAGGAGTTTTTACCAGGAGGCCTTTCTTGGAAGACTAGAAAGGCGCCTCCCAGTGAGTGTCGATGGAAGAAACCGAGCATGTCTTGAACGTGACTCCCAGGGGAGGCCTGGCATAAACAGTGATGAGTCGTCCACAGCAATGGCAGCCCCGGGCCCCAGGTGAGGCAGCAGGTCGCCCCGGCACCGCCAGCCCTCTGCTGACTCATGGCCAAGGCCACCAACCAAGACTTTTGTCTCCTTGCCCCCACCACAGCCCATCCCCAAATCGGAAGGTGACAGCTAGAGTTGGGGGAGATGCTTACCTGGGGCACTCACCTCCCTGTTGTGCCCAGTCTCCAACACTGCCACTGACTGCAGAGTGCCGGCCCCTGCAGCTGGCCCCATCCTGCCAGGAAGAACCATGGGCACCCCCAGTCTGACCACTCGTGGTCAGGAGCCGCGCCGAGTCAGCCGGCCAGACGTTGAATGTCGGTGCCCCCAGCTCCACCAGGACAAGTTCAGCGGACCACCCCAGCTGGCACAGGCCGAGGGCCCCAGACATCTTCCCTCCAGGCTCATATGAGGTCATGACACTGGGGAGGCCCACCACCCAGGTCCCAGCCCCCACGGAGCAAGGAGTTGCTCTTCCTTACTTTACTGCCCAGGATTGAGAAGGCAGATGAATCCTCAGCTCTTACCAGGGAAATGAGCAAACGCTTTACCCAAAATAAGCCAAAAAAGGAAAAAAAAATTCCATCTTCCAAACCAATCTTTGAAAATTAGTTAGCTGCTGCTTGCTTCTCATATTCGGCCTCCTGCCACCAAATGGCCAGGCCACCTCAGTGGACATGAGGAACAGACAGGAGCCACGTTCATTAACAAACCCTTTTTTTAATTAGAGATAAAAACAGCAAAGTCCCACATACCAGACCCTACAGGGAGAAGGAGATGGGCAGAGGAGTGCCAACTATTTACAAGAGCCGCAGCCGAAGGGCCCCACGCCTCATGCCTCCAGGCTGCAGGGAGGCCGCCTGCGCAGGGCAAAGAGTGCACTTTCCTGTGGGGCGCGGCCGTCAGTGGCAAAGGGCCATGGCTTCCACGTTAAGGAAGCGGACGTGCATCTTGGTCTCGATGTCAATCCCCTGCCAGATCTGGAAAGGATGGAGGAGTGTGAGAGGGTGACCCCGGCTGCCTCGCACCGAGCAGCCCAGTTCCTCAACCATCTCCCTGCCCACCCTCCCCCGCCACCCACTGCAAGGTTCGGGGGGGGGGGGGGGGCAGGTGAGCAGCAGAGGCCTGTGTTTCAAGACGATGAGCTAAGCGAGGAAGCAAAACTTCCATCTGCCTTTTTGCTGGTTAATTTGGCTCTGACATTTGGATTCTCTCTGAGATTGTCACCGCAAGTTATTATTAAGTACAGAACCCAGGCTCTTAGTTGAATCCCACCCACCACTTCAGGCTCTGTGATTTTCATGCAAATTCCTTAACCCCATTAAACCTCCTTTTCATCAGTAAAATGCCAGGACCACCACCTGTGCTGCCCACATCCCAGAATGTTGCAGGGGCTCCAAGGGCATCATCCACAGAAGTATTCTGTGAACTGTTAGGGGCTGTGCAGTTGGAAGCTTTCACGAAGCCATCATCGTTAATTAAAAGGTCACAACGGTTTGGCCTTTATGACCTCCCTGGGATGGGAGCTCACGCCCAGGAAAGGTAGTGCTGCTCAAAGACCACGTCCATCGCCACATACCTGGTACTGGTAGTGCCGTCACAGCCCATTCTGGCCAGGGCCCAGGGGACATTTGGGCTACCAGACCCTATCTGCCACCCGACAAAGCCCCACCTCTCCAAGGACTGTGCACTCGCCAGCTCCTTGGCCACTCCAGGTCCAAGAGGGCCTCAGACAGAGAGATGGTGGGAAGGAGGCAAACAGAGAGACGTGGTGGGCGGTGACTTCTCACTGTCTCCCTGCTTATATAAGAACTTCAAACTTTCAAGCTGCCACCCTCAGCATCTCCAGGGACAGCCCTGAGGCTGCAAACAGGGAGAAATCATTTTTTGCTCGCCCGTGGTCTCCCAGGTGCTTCTGGTCTCCGGCACCTGTTCTGGGTATTGTGAGGATGCAGAGAAGGCAGATCTGGTTCCAGGTGAGCGGCCCTGACCTTTGTTGGGTGGACCAAATGTCCCCAGGGAAAGACACCTGGATACTCAGGGTGGTTTCTGCTAAATGCCAGGTGGAACAGGGTTGCTGGTAGGGCTCAGGAGAGGGAAAGAGAGGGACCAGCTGGGCAAGAAAGGCCCCCAGGTGCAGGGACGGGCTTGGGGAGCACTAGAGGCATGGCAGGGGCAGCCTTTTGGGGAAGAAGTTGGTTTCTCAAGCAAAAAAAAAAATCCTCCTCCTTCACCCTGCCCAGCTCTGGGGTAGGGCCTGTGTGCGGGAGTGAGAGCTGCCAACCTCCAGCCCAGAAATCCCCTCCAGTCTTCCCAACATGGCCCTGTTTGTGCTGCCAGCCCCCGCTCTCACCACTCCTGCCTCCTTGGCATTTGTTGACGACTGGCTGGGTTAGTGGGCAGGTCAGAGGAGACCACCTGGCCACGCTGCCCCTCGGCTCCATGGGGCTGTGGGCACCCGAGTCCCTGGCCTGGCTCCAGGCACAGGCCCATCAAGCTCTCTGGGTGCCCCTGGGCAGGCTGGACCCAGAGCCTCTGGGCCCCGTTCCCCCGACTTCCTGTTGTCTTCAGCTCCCGGAAGGTGTGGGGCGCTGCTGCTGGGGTGCTCAGACCCAGAGTGCTCAGAGCAGGGTGGGCTTATCCCCTGCCACGGGGTGTCTGCCAGTCAGAGCGGCGAGGGGGCCTAGTTCCCAGCCAGGGAGCACGTTTGTAACAGCGAAGGCCCAGCGATGCCTGAATGTCGAGTGGGGGCTGGAGAGTCCCCTGCCTGAGGCTGGAAGAACGGGCAGCCATGTAAAAAGTGCCATCTACAGGGCACAGTAAAAGAAAAGCTAGGGGCAGAACCTCCAGTTGGCTCCAGTGTGTGCTTCTGAAGAAAGCTGGTACCCATAGAGGCATAGAACATTCCAGAACCCCAGTTCTGACTGTCAAGGGGGATGCTTCTGAGAAGGGGGACCAGGGCCTCGTGCAGGAGAGAAATAGAGTTTTCCTTGTATGCCCTTCTGCACTGCTTAAATTGTTCAGCCCATGTGTGAATATTATCCTTTCAATAAAAAGTAAGTGAAACCAGTTTACATTGTTTTAAAGGCTGTGCCCTTTCCACAGAGACGCCTGTCTCCTCCTGACCAGGGTCCCCTTGAGCCCCCACCCCGGCCCACGGCCCTCCCTCTCCACCTGACACCCACCTTCAGGAAGTCGTCAAAGGTGATCCCCTCGTACACCTGGTCAGGCTCCTGGGGACAGAGCGCACGGCAGTGAGGGGTCCAGCAGGAGACTGCACCCCAGCCCAGAACACACATGGTGGGGCCTGTTTAGGTAGAGTCACGAGAACTGGATAGTTCCCCTCTGCTCAAGGCCAGTCACCCTGAACTCCAAGGTCCCCTTCACTGGCTGGAGGGGGATGGGAGGAGGGTGTGGGCCCCCGGGGAAGACCGAGTAGATGAGGATGGAAATGCAGGGGGTGGGCCCAAAAGCAGGGGGCTCGCCCTCCCACAGAGCCCCCCCTCCGCAAGGTCCCAGCAGTACAGCCACCTTTTGACGCTCCTGCCATTTCCTGGCCCCGCCTCCTCACAGCAGCCTTGATAGGAGCCAGTTCTAGGCTAATCTGAGCTCACAGACCACTGGGGAAAGGGGCAAGGGACGAAGGGCTGGCCTGTGCGGCCCACCCCTGGCGCCCAGTGAGTCACTGATAACGTCGGCCTGCCGAGCCATGGGCAGCGCCAGCCTGTCTGCGTCTTCCCTGCTCTGGGCACATGGGGACCTCAGGGGATGAGAGTGGGGCCCCTGCCCCTGTGGCTGCCGTCTCAGGCTCTGTCACAACCAAGTCTCCAGGACCTTCACCCCCGCCTGCAGCAGCCTTTGTGACTGAACGTCTGGCTGACGTCCCAGTGCCCATCGAGAGACCTGCTAACAAGCTCTCGGTCGTCCATGCTATTGTCACCACACAGCCACCAAGAAGGGGGCGATCTATACGTGCCAACACAGAAAAGGCTCCCAGACAGGTAGACAGTGGAAAAACCAAAACCAACAAGGGGCAGAAAGATGTCTGCAGATCCCCTGCGTGCAGGTTTCTCCCTGCGCCACTAAGCAGACCAGCACGCCCTGCCCTGTGCGTCTGCGAGGTCAGGACAGGGCAGAGGAAGAGCCAGGCCGTTCAAGCCCACATCTGCACATCAGACGTAAACGACACGCGTGTACACACTGGTAGAACAGCCCACCAAGCCGGCTCCCCTTGGGGTCGATATGAAGCAGGGCGAGGGCAGACCCTTCTCTTCTGTACCCCTCGGAAACTCGTTCCTCCGTGTATTTCAGAACAGTGGGCTCTCTGCTGCACCAGGCACCGTCTCGAGAGCTTTACGGGTGGTGTTACTAACATTAACGGTGACTCCACAGCCCCCAGGTGGGTTCGGTTCTTCCTCCCATTTTACAGATAAGGCCACTGAGGACCGGAGGCAAGGCCACCTGTCCCGCTGGGAGCCGCAGCCTCCGTGTGTGTGATAGGGTCCTCCCCCTGCCCCTGGCCCTGCAGTTTCCTCTTTGTACTTCTTTTAATACAGAAAGCAAATCAATGTATATATTTTTAATTTTATCAAAGCCACCCGTTCTCAGACACCTGGGCCAGCCCTGTCCCTGGGGCTCCCTGCTCTTTGTGCCCTGGGCACGGGGAGAGGTGGCTGCCCTCTCCCTGCAGGCAACCCCAGGGCCCCAGGGCGGCCAAGGAGAGCTAATTAGACAAGGCCCTGCTGGCCCGAGACCAGGGCTGGAGGGTGGGCGCCCAGTGGCAGGGGGTGAGGGGAAGCACCCCAGGCTGAGACCCCAGCCAAGCAGCCCTACCCTCGGGCCGCGGAAGCCACAGAGAAAGCACTTTGGAAAGATCGTTGCCCCAGTCAGTAAGCAACTCTGCAAGGCCATTAACGTGGGGGTGATGGATCGTGTGTCTGGCTGCGGCGCGGGCAGAAATGTTAACGTCCTCAGGGGCCAGATGGTATTGAACGGCTGCGGCTGCCCCTTGCTCACAAGGGCACACAGCTCGTCTGTGTTTATCTGGCTGACAATCACACGAGAAAGTATTTTAAGATTACACAGAGGATCCACAAGTAAAGAAAGACGCCTGGGACACACACCGGGAAGCCAGCCTCAGCTCCGAAATGCCTCAGCTTCCGAGGCTGTGCGGATTTTATGCAGATCAGCAGCTGCCAGCTGCCAACAATTTTACTACAGCAAATTAAAAAAACTGTTGCCAATTGAAACTGGAGTGGGACAGGGAGTAATTTAAAGAAAGAGAGTGTAATTAAATCAAATGGGAATTTGGCTCGACAACCCAGCGGGGGATCCCTGTGCTCCCTATGGAGGTCACCAGCCCTTTCTGCGGCGGTTAACTGGCTGAGAGGGGTGGCCTCACCAAAGCCAGAAGCCTCCCCCTGGGCCCCAGAAGCAAAGTACAGGCCAATAAAATGGTCACAGCCCGCCGGGCCCCGTAGCCCCTGATGACAGGCTGGGGCACAGACAGCAGGTCCCAGCAGGAACCCGCCCCCCTCGGGCTGTGGTGATCTCAAAGCCAAAAGGTGTCTGGAGCGACAGCCACTTTAAATACACAGGAGCGAAGAGGGGGTGGCCTCAGTGGGACCACCGAAACCCTCGGGGGAACACTGAGATGGTCCCTAGGGGCTCAGGGCCACTGTGTCAGGATGACCAGGCTGTACTGGTCCTACAGGGGTGACTACTGAGCACAATAAAGATCGCTGCCCCTGAACTCCAGAAAATTCTTTTATGTCCCTGAGCCTCAGTTTCCCCCCCAGTAAAATGAGGCGCTGTATGTGGAGTACACAGCATGGCGTCTGCACATGCCGTGTGGTCTCCCTACGGGAGCCGAGTGTATGGGGCCCCCGGCCTGCCTGGAGCCCCCTGGGGAGTCCCTCCAGGAGCCCCCACACGCCCACTGCTCACACGGGCAAAGGACCAGTTACCACTCCACTTACCATTTACGGGCACAGCTTGCTTTATTGCAGTTCGCAGATACTGCCTTTTTTACAAAACCCTCCACCAGCAAAAAGATTACAACTCGCCAAAGGCTGAGACGATGTTAGCATTTTTTAGCAATAAAGTGTTTTTAAATTAAGGTAAGTACATTGTTTTTTAGAGATAATGCTATTGCACACTGTCGTCTGCAGTGTAAACCTAACTCTTATAAGCACTGGGAAAGCAAAAAATTTGCGTCTCTCACTTGATTGCGATATTTGTTTCATTGCGATATTCGCTTCCTTGCAACAGTCTGGAACGGAACCTGCAATGTCTCCGAGCTGTGCCTATTCCTGTGGCCCCTAGTGCAATGGTTCTTCCTCGGGGGCGATTTTGCCCCCCACTGCTCCCTGGGACATTTGGCAACGTCCAGAGGCATTTTTGGTGGTCACAATTTGGAGGGTGTGGCTGGCATCTAGTGGCTAGAGGCCGGAGATGCTGCTCGACACCCTACAACGCCCAGGACGGCCCCCACACAGAGAGCTGCCAGCCCCCGTGTCAACGGTGCAGGTGAGGACACCCTGCTCTGACTTGCCTGAGTCCGTCACAGGCATGACCACGCCAGTTCTGAGAAATGACCCGGCCATTTCTACACCAGGGTGACCCTGACGAGCCTCAAGGAGTGGCCGGCATTTGTGTTCATGCTCCCGTGGTGGCCCTGCCTGCCTTCCCACCCCATCACAGCTCCACCTGCAGCCCCGGCCTGGAGCACCGGTGGCGGCCTCAGAAACACCTCTGGTCCAATCCTCTCGCGCTCTCCTTGGACCAGCGAGGGACTTCCACCCTCTGCAGCACACACCCTCCACTCCCGGCTCCTCCTGGACCCCAGACCACATGACCCCACACACCCCCTCCCCGCCACTTGTGAATAAATTAAAGCGAGCCTGTGCTGTGCGCTCACCGGGCCTGGCAGTGTGCCAGGTGCTCTCCTAGAGCCCAGAGAAGCTGCTTGGCTGGGCCCACAGGACCCCAGAGCCAGGCTTCCCTGCCTGGCCCTGCTCTCCAGGTTGGGACCTGTGGTCAGTCTCCTGGGAACAGGAAAGCAGGGAGGGGTTTCTGAGCTCTGCTCTGTGCCAGGCTGGGTAGAGTGGCGAGCAGGACAAGTATGGTCTGGCCTTCGAGAAACAGGCTAACTAGGGCAGGGTGGTGGCGGTCAGCAGGGGTGGGGTGCTCCCCTCCACCCCAGAGCGCTCACCATCTGCCCCACACAGACGCTGGCCGCCTCCATCATGGCCCCGTCGGCGATGGAGCGAGCCGACTCCTTCTCGATGTGGGGGTTCCCTGAGAGCAGCTCCTCCACCACCTGCCAGGCGGGGCAGAGACAAGCGTGACCTTGGGCCGCTATCTATGCCCGGGACGGGGGAAGGCGCCAGGAGTCCTGGCGGGCGAGAAGCATACTTTACATTTCGATATTCTTCCAGGGTGATGCGGCCGTCGCTGTCTGAGTCATACATGTGGAACAGAACTGGGGTGGTGGGGAGAGAGAGGGGGCTCAGTCAGGCAAGACAGGGCCCAGGTCCCCTGCTTCCCCAGCCTTCCCCACTCAGAAATCTACCTCGAACTGAGCAAAAGACACTGAGAACGAAACCTAAATGCCAAAGCCATAGGGGTCAAGGGCAAAGGCCATGGGGCCAGCCTGACCACTTCCTGGCGGGTGACCATAGGCAAGTGACCTCACTTCTCTATGCCTCAGTTTCCCCATCTGTCGACCTCATGGTGGTGCAAGGGCTGGTGAGCTATGATGGTGGATCAGGACCAGCAGCCGCCTGGCACACTGAGCGTGGATAACTTGACAGTATCACTGACATAAAGCCACATCAGTGTTATTTCAAAGTATCATGCCTGACAGACCCAAGAGGACGGCCATCATCATGGCCCTGTGGCAGGTCACAGGCCCCCTGGCTGATCTGAGCCAGCCCAGGACGCCACGAGGGACATTAGCACCTCCTCTGCTTATACCACTCTTAGTGATGTCCCCTTTGTTCCTTTACTGACATCACTCAGCATCCTGCAGCCCAAGAGGCCAGAAGCTGAAGGGGAGGGGACCTCCCGGCCCGGCTGAGCCTCGGGCTCACGAAGTCCCCTGCACGGGCATTATCCGGCACTGACCAGACACCCAGCACTGTGCAAAGCGCTTCACAAACCACTTTAGTCCTCACATGACCCCGGGAGGCCAGGGCTGCCCCGGGCCCAGCTCACAGACTGGGCTGTGAAGGTCATATAAGTTAAGGTGCTTGCGCACAGCCACCCTGGTAAGGGAGGGGAAACCTGGGGTTTGGACCTGCATCTGTCCCATTCCACAGTCCCCATGGCCCCCGTGACCTGGTCTTTGGAGCAAACAGTAAGCTGGGCCAACACCAGGTGCCCCCTGGTCCGGAGCGCCACAGGAGGGCTGTGGGACGCCCAGCCGGGCAGTTCCCAGCAGCCCTCATGTGCACGATCCAGATCTAAATACAGCCCGGCCGCCACGCTTACAGTCTCCTCGGCCCAGGCTGCCTCGGGGTGGGGCAGAAGGATGTCAGGAGTCATGGGAAAGTCCATGGGGGAAGGAACACGTGATGCAGGCCACTGGGGACACTGTGCTGCCAGCCAGCCCAGATCACAACCAGGCACGCTCTGGAGCCCAGGGCCCAGCGAGGCTCCTCCAGGACAGAGCAGCCTGAGGCCCCGCGGAGGCCAGTCTTGGGAATTCTGCACACTCCAGCAGCTTGTGCAAGAGCGAGGGGGAGGAACTTCCAGGGAGCACCTCCCATGCGCACCCCCATGCAGGGCCGTGGCAGGACCTGGGGGACGCAGCCCATCCAGGTGTAGGCGGGGAAGGGTACCAGGGTTGGGGCACGCACATCTCAGCTTCTCTTTCCGGCACAGCTGCACCTGCTCCTCGTCCATGGTGATGTCGATGGGCCGGAAGTAGGACATGATGGTCAGGAAGTCCTCAAAGTTGATCTCGTCGGCCACGCCACTGGGCCCCTTGCGCAGGTTCCTGTGGCGGCAACAAGGGCAGGGTGGAAATGAATTAAAGCCACGTCTTGTCCTTTCACTACCAACAGCTCACGAGAACTCGGCCCTTCTGGGCACACATGTGCCCAGATGGTTGTCTGGCCTCGGGGTCTGTTTCCCAAAAAGCTGCTCGTGGGGACACCGGGGGCCCCAGAGCCCCCATCATGGGACTGCAGGGAGACAGACAAGAGCACAACTGCTGCTGGGATGGAGGGCTGCCTGGGCGTGCTGCTCCTACGTGGGGAGACTGAGGCACCGAGCAATCCATAACTCACCCAGGGTGCCTCTCCTGACCCTTTCCTTAGATCAGAGGTTAGCAAACTGCAGCCTGTGGGCCACATCCTGCCTACCAGCTACTTTGGTATGGCTCATAAACTAAGAAGGGTTTTTATGTTTTTAAATGGCTGCAAAATGTTTTGGAAAAAACCCCGAAGAATAACAGTATTTCATGACAAGTGAAAAAGAACATGAAATTCAAATTTCAGTGTCCACACATAAAGTTTTATTGGCGCACAGCCACACCTATTCATTTGCTCACTGTTGGGGGCTGCACGAGGCTGGCTGCGGAGCAGCAGAGCTGAGAGGTTGTGACAGAGACCATGTGGCCCACAAAGCATAAATATTTGCTCTCAGCCTTTTACAGAAAGTGTGCTGACTCCTGCTCCCCGTCAGTGTTTGCAGTTCGAGTACAGTGATGGGCCGCGGGCAGCACTGAGGGGCCTGTGTGTGACCACAGAGCAGGTCTCCCCAAGGACTGCAAGTTTTTAATAAATAGGGCAGGTCGAGGGTGTCCCTATCGAAGTGCTTTTTTGAAGGGACAAGAAAGGGCTCGTGCTCCAGGCGGGGCTCAGGGAGGGGGCACGGGGTGCTCAGCCAACGTGCCTTAGCGTGTCGGAAAGCCACCAGCACGGGTCCTGGCACAGAACAGCTGTTGAGTAAACAGCTCAGAGATGACCCCAGCCCACCAGGGGCCCCTGACCCATTGCTGCCAGACCCTCAGCACTAACCGACCCCAGTCGCGACAGCCGACAGCTGCTGACGCACGTTGCCACTGGGCTGACAGCTGAGGGGTCCCCCACCCTCACTGTGCATCCTTGCAAAGGAGAAGCTCCGAGCTGGCTCAGAATGACTGACAGGTAAGGCCTGGTGCTTGTAAGTTACCTGGGTCCCCCTGGGTCACGACTGCACCTCCATTTAGTGGAATATGTTTGCGCTTCTCTCCTGAGGGGCCCGTCTACTCCCTTTCAGATCCTGACTGCCCCTGAAGTGTCCATCGCACTTCACAGTTTACAGATCTCGCTATTCCTAATTTTCCATTCCAGGAGATTTTCCAGAAACAGGTGGATCCCAAGCCTGGAATAGGGAAGGTAGATTGTGGAACTAGAAATCTGAGAGATGAGACGAGGCGCTCTTCCCCACGCTCGGGGAGCCAGGCTTTGAGTGTTTTCCACAGTCTCCCCTTAAATCTTCTGTCTTATAAAGTTCCCACTGCTCCTCCTGACAGATTGTTAATCACCTCAAAGTCCTTGCTGTCAGGGACACAGGCCAAATTTACAGGGCAGGAAAACAGCCCCGGATTTACGGGCTCCTCAGAGGTACTTCTCACTGCACTTGGTCACCCGTCCTTCCCAAGAGGTTCCGGCTGCAGCAAGAGGGATTAAGATTAGCTCCTGGGAAAATGTGACAGGGCTGGGGGAGAGCAGGCCACGTGTCCTTCTCCAACAAGGTCGAGCCCCAGGCTGCTTCGGCATCAGGACCCGATTTAGGAGAAAGGGGTTCCTTCCCCTCCTAGTGTCCCTGAGAGGTCCATCCACACGGCCAACATCATGGGCTCTAAAAGCAACAAGAGTGCAAGGGCTGAGGAAACCCAGACACAGCACCTGGAGCCAGCGCCACCTGCTCCCCACTCCGTTTCCAAAGTGGGGAACCCAAGGTCAGGGTTGGTGGATGAAAGAATGGGGGCTGCAGTCACATTGGCAACCCAGCACGAGAACGTTCTTTTTGCAAGGATGCCTGATTTAGAGCAGAATTTTCACTTCCTTATCTTTCTGATGATTGCATAAGGAATGGAGGCCCTGGAGGTGGGGACGAACCCCACTCGAACTGCCCTCCAGGACTGCCTTCTCTGCATACTGTCCTGTTCCCAAAGGGTCTTGGGAACCAAGGATGATGCTGCTGGTCTTGAAAAGGAAATCCGTCTCCAGCAGCCCCTCCAAAGTCCTCCCTTGCCTCCTTCAGGACGAGCTGTGAAGGATGCACAGGACACGCTGGGGCTTCGCTGCAGCCCCCAGCTGTCCCAGGTGCAGACTCTGGGAGCCTTTCCTTAGCCTCCCCTCCTCCGTGACTTGCAGGCTGACCCCCAACTCACCCGGCACAACCCTTTCTCCACATCCAGTTTTCTAAGCAGCTGCCGAGCCTGAGACCCCACGACCTGCGGGGGAGGCGAAAGCCGGCCCCTCCCCAGCACTGCCCCCGCCTCCTGCTACCTGCGTCATCGTCGGGGGTGGTGGGGGGGGAAATTCCCTAGAGCAGGTGCAGCGTCACGAGCTGCCCTCGCTGCAGACCCATGAGTCCCCCGACTCCCTCCCGCCAGGACCGCCTGTGCAGTCGGTCACCAGCTTCACACCTCCCGTCTCTGGGATCCTGCCTGTCCTCTCCCGGCCCCTGTCCCGCCTCCACCCTCCCCCGTGGGATCCTCCAGCCCTGCCCTCCACATGCAGCCAGAAGGGGCTTTGCAAAACACAAAGCGGATCCTGTGGCCCCCCTGCCCGATGCCCTGCAGGGGCTCCCCCAGCTCTCGGGGAACCTCCACCGCCCTGCTTGGTGCCCCAGGAGGGGCAGTCTCAGCCATTCACCCCACGCCTCGCCACCCCTCCCTGCCACACTCCCCTCCCTACTTCCCCGCAGGCTTGTTTCGATGTCCGTCCACTTTGGGACGCTCAGTGACGCCTCCAACTCCACACCCCAACAGCCTGTGTCCACTCCACATCAGGGGCCGCATCTCCCACGCCGGCACCTCCCTCCCCCCGATCCTGCTCTCGCTCACTCGGGCCCTGGCTTCCGGGTATACCCCCCTCACATGCCCCTGGCAGAACCAGGATTAGAAAGGAGGTGGGGACACTAAACCCCACTCCCACCATCCCCATTGACTGTGACCTTGGACCTTCCCTCTCTGGCAAACGTGGCAATTTCCTGTGGAGGTTTCTCCGGTGTCGGCTCCCTCACCTCCACCCCCAGATGCAGCCTTCCCACCCTTCTCCCTTCCCGGGTGTCTCAAAGCCACCCACAGCTCTCCATCCCGCTCAGCAGCCCTGGCTCCAGCCTGGGGGGCCGCAATACGTCCCCCTCCCTGGGCTCTGTCCCCTACAATCCACGGGCAGCCAGAGTGACCTCTACGAAATGCAAACCTGGTCCACACCCCACCCTAAACCCATCAGTGCCCCCCATCGCTGCTCCAAGGTCGAAGTCAAGACCCCTCCTGCTGGTCTAGGAGCCACCTCTCACCACGCTCAGCCTCTCTGCACTCCAGCCAGGCCGCCTCTCTGCCACTCATGCTCCTGGACTCCCTGTGCCACCAGGCCTTTGCACATGCAGTTCTGTTCTCCCAGAGCACCTTCTCTCCCTGCTTGGCCTGGTTAACTCTTAGTCATTCTCTCCTCAGGCCTCATCCCACAGGCCCTGGAGGAAGCCCTCTGCATCTTCCAGGGCAGCCCAAGGACCCCCCACCCCATCCTGTCAAGAGGTGAGGCTCAGAGAGGCTCAGTGTCCTGCTCAGGGTCCCACAGCCCTGGCAGAAGCAGAGCTGAGCGGCTCAGGCTCATACAACTTAAAACCGATCAGGGAGCCACCTCCCGTCTTCCTTCCTTCCCTTCCTTCCTCTTTCTGCCAGTTCCCCTGCTTCTCAGCCATCTTGGCAGACACAGGGTGCCAGGCCTGGGGCCCTGGCAGCCGGGGAGGATGCAGCCACCCAACCTCCTCCACGGAGCTTCAGACATGGTGTCTTTCAACCTCAACAACAATGGACACCTGGGGGCACGAGCTTCGGTCTGAGCCCCAGCTCTGGGATGCTGGCCAAGGTGCACCACCCTCTGTGCCTCAGTTTCTCCGTCTGTAAGCCAGGGCAATGGGCACAACAACAGCTAACCCAGTGCTGGGCACACATCATCTCAGCCCACCCTCACCGCCACCCTGTGAGGCAGGTGCTATCACCACCTCCATTTTATAGACGAGGAAACCAAGGCGGCTCCAAGATGGCCCCCAAGGAGCCCTGTCTCCTGGTATTCACGCCCCTCCAAGTGTGGGGTGACCTAGGGACCTACTTCTACGGAAGAGAACACAGCGGCAGTGATGGGATGTCCCTGGTGAGGTCAGGCTACCGAAAGATGGCGGCCCTGTCTCCCCCTCTCTCACCTGGCCGTCTCGCTCTGCAGGAAGCCTGTGGCTGCCGTGTGGGAGCAGCCCTGTGGGTGAGTCCCAGAGAGGCCTCCAGCCAAAGGCCAGAGAGGACCCCGAGGCCTGCCGCTGACAGCCAGGGCAGTGAGCTTGGAGGCAGGGCTCCCCAGGTGGGGCCTTCAGAGGCCCAGCTGACGGGAGCCCACAAGCCCCACTAGGGTGCACCCAGATCCTGATCCCCAGAATTGGTGCCATAATAAACACTTGTGGCTTCAAACTGCTAGGTCTCGGGATAATTTGTTACGCGGCCAGAGCTAACTAATACAGGGGCCGAGAGAGACCGATGAGCTGCCCAGAGTCACCCAGCTGTGAATCCAGACTGTGACCCCAAAGCTGTGCTCAGAGTCCCTACCCAACACAGCCCCCCTTCTCTGCGCCAGTTTAACTGTGAGAAGTGACTCCCCAGGGACAAAGTCACCTGCCATCGGGAAAGGAACGCACCTGTTGTCGAAGAAGGCACGGATGATTTTGGATCGGATAGGGTTGAGGTCCAGGTCCGGGACGTTGTTGAAGTTCTCCTTGCTGGGAGCCAACGCAGACAGCACCGGGAAGAGAGCGAGCAAAGGAAGCGGGCGTGAGACCAACGTTCATCACTCATCAGGCTACGGTTCCATCCTGAGCAGGCCCCCCAAGAACAGTCCCGAGGCAGGGCTGGGGTCCGCAGCACGGATGCGCCTCCTCCCCTACCTTTGGACTGGCAGGAGCAGGGAAGGGCTGGGGGCATAAGATGCCTCCGTGAATCCAACAAATGCCCTGGACATCCACCTCCAGAAAAGTGCAAGGACACAGACATGCCCCTCATTCTGAGGGCAGGCCCCCAGGCAGGCCCACCACAGGCCCCTGCTTTCGCTGTTCTGGAATCAGAGCAGCAGGGTGCCGGCTTGGAGACCTGGAAAACAGCCTGACAGGTTCTCAAGAGGTTAAAGGCAGGGTTACCATGTGGCCCAGTGACTCCACTCCCAGGCATACACCCCAGAGAAATGAAAACATACATCCACATAAGAACCTGGACACGAACCTTCGTGGCAGCGTTATTCCTAACAGCCATAAAGGAGAAACACATGAAATGTTTGACAGCTGGTAATTGGATAAATAAAATGTGGTCTATCCACACAATGGAATATTATGCAGCCATAAAAAGGAATGAAAGACAGCTGCATTCTACAACACAGACGAAACTTGAAAACATGCTACTAAGAAACCAGACACAAAAGTCCACATGGTGTATGATTCCATTTATATGAAATGTCCAGAATAGGTACATCCACGGAAACAGAAAGTAGGTTAGTGGCTGCCAGGGGCTGACGGACTGGGGGCGATGGGGAGTGACAGCTAAGGGTACAAGGTTTCTTCCTGGGGTAAGGAACATGTTTAAAATTGACTGTGGGGATGGACCCCAACTCTAAGTATCCTAAAACCACGGAACTGTGCATTTTAATGGGTGAGTTGTAGGGTATGTGAATTGTATTTCAGTAAAATTGTTCCAAAAAAAAAAAAAAAAGATGCTGGCTGGGGGCAGGAGGGGCGAATTTCGAACACAGCGCTGCGTCCTAGAGGCGGTGGGTCTGCGGCCCGGAGGCGGTAGGTCCCTCGCAGCCTGACCTCCCACATGGGCCGTCCTGTGTTCTAGAATCTGCTTCCTGCTCACCTTCTTCTGTTCCATGGACTTCAACGGGCAACGGCTTTGGAAGGGCCCCAGGACACCCGGGCGGGCGAGGTGGAAGGAGAGCAGCGACTTAAAAGGACAACGCCCAGGGGTGAGAGATGCATCGGGTTTGGGACTCAAAACGAGGGCCGACCCCACCGGCAGCGGGGCAGGCGGCCGTCCACAGAATCAGGCAGGGTCTGGTGAAGATGCTGTGAATGCACGGCTGGCCCGTCCTGCCTCCACCTCACAGACGGGAGGCCGACGCTCGGGTCGCGGGGAGAAGGGGGACCTGGCCCAGGGCCGCATCCCGCACTGCTCGCTCCTCGCGGCGCTGCCTCCCGTCTCTCCCCCAGCGCTCCTTGTGGCATCCGGGCAAACTGAGGAGCGGGCGGCAGCAGACACCAACCCTGAGACTCGTGAGAGCCCAGTTCTGAAGGAGGGGGACGCTCAGAACAGTTGGCCCCGGGGGCTGGCATGTTATTTTGCTATTAAAGGGGATGCCGTACTGATGTGTGTTACAGTGTTGACGAACCTCGAAACCATGATGCTGAGGGAAAGAAGCTCGACACAAAAGGCCACATATTATACGGCTCCATTTATAGGCAAAGTCCCGAACAGACAAATCCACAGGGACGGAAAGGAGACGGGTGGCTGCCAAGGCGATAGGGGGTGATGGCTGACAAGCACAGGGTTTCTTGGGGGTGAAGAAAATGTCCTAAAACTGATCGTACACTTTAAAAGGGTGAATTGTACAATATGTAAATTATATCTCAACAAAGCTGTTTTGAAATTTCCCTAAAATATTTTTAAAAGCCAAAAAGCAAACAAACCCCGCACTAGGACTCCGTTTATATAAAGAAGCAAAGCGCCGACACTGACCCACGCCATGGGAAGTCAGGATAACGGCCAGCTATCTTCAGGGATGTGACCGGGACGGAGCCCGAGGAAGCTTCTGGAGGCTGGGAATGTCCCGCTCTTGATCTGGGTGTGGGGTCCTGGCATGTTCAGTCTGTGAAAGCTCGTCTCGCGATGACCAGTCACTTTTCTCCGTGCGTGTTATAGTCCCCACTGCCCTGGCACGCCCAGCTGTCCTCCCCTTTCTCCTCAGTAGTGGGAGGCGACCATGGGAGGAAATACATCGAAAGCCCAGGGGCCCTGGGCGGGAACAAGTCAGAGCAAAGGGGCCACGTGGAGCTTGAGGGAATTCTGAGAGACAGACAGGACGCAGCCAGCTGCTTGTGTTTTATCAGTGCATGAGCCCTCAGCCCCTCTGGCTTTCATCGGCCAGGGCGTCTTGGCTACTGCTAACCCCTCCTCAGCCTTGGTTTCCTCATCTGTGAAGCAGGCGCCTCTGGAATCAGACTTGGGTTCTCCCCGGCTCTGCTACCTGGGCCAAGTGGTTTAGCCTCTCTGAGCCTCAGTTTGCTCCTCTGGAAACAGAAGCCTCAAAGGGTTGTCATGTGTTCATGTGAGACAAAGTCTGGAGCACACTTAGCATGGTGCCCGGGGAGGAGGGAGTGCTCCCCAGATGGAAGCTCCAGACATGGCCCCCAAGCTCATGGGGACTGGGACCCCACAATTTCCACAGCAGCATGCCTCCATGCCGTGCACCATCGGGGCAGCATAGGTGAATGAGCAGCTGAGTGGAAGGGATGGTGGGTGCGGGTGGGGCTTGACCCCTCGGTTCCGTCTGTCCTGAGCACCCAGGCTGCACCCAGCTCAGCTCCCTCCCCAGGCGTCCAGACCCTTTGGCCACCCCCAGGAGTTCTCCATCCACAGAGTCCTGGGGCTGCTGGAAGGATCAGATCCGGGGACACACCGGGAAGCGGACGTGAGTCTGGTTAACTCCCAGGAGGGAAGAGAGGCCTCAAAGGAGGAAGCTGCAGGTTCCAGGCAGCTAGGAGAAACCGGGTCCCCATGCTGTGAAGGTGGCAAGAAGGACCCACCACCGTGAGACCCCACAAAAGGCCAGAGGGACGTAGGGCTGACCCGGGAGGGAGAGCAGGCAGCAGTGCCCTGGGAGAGAGGGCGGAGGGCAGAACCACCTCGCAGACCAACCAAGTGTCCGAGAAGAAAATTGACAACAAAGAGGCCTGACTCTCCAGTGGCAGCAGGAGGGGAGGCAGACCTAGGAAACCCCTGGGGGCAGGTGGCCGGGTCCTGGCTCACAGCCCTGGCAGGTCCGTGCTGACGTCTGACATCCAGCTGTCCTTGCTCCATCTCCCCTAGGCACCTGCTAGACCCACACTAGAATCTCCCCTCTCCCTCCCCACGGGCAGCTTACTGACTCTCAGTTTCTTACAGAAGCCTCAGTTGCCTCATCTGTGAGTTGGGTGCACACCCAGCACCTCCCGTATCACAGGGATGTGAAGTCTCGCACACCCAGGGGCCAATCTGGGCTCTGCCCCCGACCGAGCCACGGCACATCCCGGAGCCTTGGGACTTCTCATGTGTCAAATGGGGATCGTGGGAATATCCAGGGAGTATCACGAGGTTAACGAGATGGATGCATATAAGGTGTGCAGCATCCTGCCTGACACCCGGTGAGCTCTTAATTTAAAACTAATTTTACTAATAAGAGTAACCTCAGCCACCCTTCTGTGTACTCCCAAAGTGTCGGGGACTGTTGTAAGAGCTTTATATTATCATCCTGTAAGGTAGGAACTTATCCCCATCTTAAAGATGAGAAAACTGAGGTAGAGGTGAGAAGCGTCTTATTGCTAAGAGTGACTGACAGGTGGCACGGGGAGGCCTGGCTGGGGACAGCAGCTCACGAGAGTCAGGGCTGGCTGGCAGTCCCCGGGGACACTCCAGGGACCTGCCCACCTCCTTTTTCAACAAGTTGACTTGGGCTTTGAGCCCAGAGCCTGAGACCAGCTAACTAGAGCTTAATGGCAGCTTAATGCGCCATCAGGGCTAGTTTCAGTCTTATTTCCCTTCCTCCCACCTGCCCCGAGGTGCCCACTGGGCAGGTTGAGCCGGCTCAGTGGAAGGTGCCTCAGCTGTGGGAACAGCTCGGCTTCACCTGAGCCGCCCGTAGGCTGGGGGCAGGTCCCTGCTCTCGGGCCACAGCTGACGCAAGGTGGCCAGTGAGTGGTCCAGGAGGGAGGGGCTCACCCACGAGGGCTCCAGGGCACGTAACTTCCGCCCTTCTCCAAGGGTTTTAAATTTCCCCCCGGCATCTGAGGGCTTTCACCGTGAGAGGTGGTGCTCACACAGCACTTAGCTTTAATCACCCCCACGCACCCACTTTACAGGCACGAAAGTGAGGCCCAGAGAGGTGACATGACTAAGCCACAGTCGTGCAGCGAGGAGAGGAGCTTCGAATCCGGTTCTAACCACCCTGGGGACTTCCTCACACTGGCTACTGCCTTCGAGTCGCATGTTGTTTTTACTTTAAAGAGAGAATGAGAGATCTCTGTTGGACATCTGTTCCCACCCAGCCCAGAGAGGCCCCATCCGGGACTCAGAACAAGGGCACGATAAGCGTCTGGCCCACGAGGGAAGGAAAAGCCTGAAAAACCACCGAGGGTGGGCCGGCGGGCTCGTCCTCAGCCCCGAGGTGTGGGTTGGTTTCCGGCAGCGTGTGAGGCTCAGCTCCACTGTAGACTTCTCTCTGCAGGTTCTGGGCTTGGGGCTGCCCTCAGCCACGCCAGGGCGCACCGACCTCCGAGCTGAGGAGGCAGCAAGGCCCCAACCCAGCCTGGGACGCCAGCCTCCCTGCTCCCTGCTGGTCCAGGGCCCCCTGCAGCATCGAGGAAGGCCACTGGGGTCTTTCCTCCGCAGGGCGCCTGCCGGACTCTCCCGACCCCACCTCCCCGTACTGTTCAGCATCTGACGTTTCCCACATGGGGCCGTGAGAGAGTAGACACTCAGGAAGCTGGGGCCCCAGGGGACTCGTGAAGGAGGGACCACATCTCTTTCAGCGTGCATCTTCCCAGGCAGAGCCGAGCTGCTCCAAGTGCGGTCCCTGGACCAGCAGCGTGAGCATCACCTGGGAGCTCGTGAGAAACACAGAGTCTCAGCCGCCCCAGAGCTGCTGAATCAGAACTTGTGTCTTAACACGCTCCCCAGGGCATTTGTGTGTAAGTTAATGTTGGAGAAGCACTAAGGATGGCCTAAAGGCACCAGGTGGCTCTCCCATCCCCATGCCTTTGCTAAAAGGTTCTGACAAGAAAGGCCTGGTCTTCTTGTCCACAGGCAAATGCCTCATTCAAAAGCTGGGGCAGCATCACCGACATCATTCCTCCTCGTCACACACAGGCTTTCTCCCCCTCCCATAACTGCTCCCAGGACCCAGCTGCCCTCCCAACACCTGTGGTTTCCTTAACACGTGGGGAGCAACCAGCATTCTAGCCCCTTTGACGTGCCAGGCACTGTTCCAGTGCTGGCAGCAGCAGTGAATGGGGTGGCCACGACCCCTCCCGGGATTCTGGCGGAACAGAGAAGGAAAACAGTCTCCCAGGCAGTGACGAGCACTTTGCAGACGAACCAGCAAAGTACAAAGACCGCAGTGGGGTGGTCAGGAAAGGTCACGGCAAAGGTGACACACGAGCAGGGACCTGAAGGAGGCAAGTTCTCATCTCCAGGGAGCACGTGGGGCTGTCTGGAGACATTCTGGCCGTGACACTGGGAAAGAATTACTGGCATTGTGTGGGCAAAGGTCAGGGATGCTGCGTAACATCCTACAGGACGTGACCCCCCCCCCCCCCCCCCCAGAATTCTCCAGCCCCAAGAGCCAACAGAAACCCTGCTCCAGGGAAAAGCATCCTAGAAAGAAGGAACAGTGCATTCTAGAGCTCTGAGGGAGGAAGAGCAAGAATGTCCACGTGGCTGGAGCAGAAAGAGCAAGACGGTCAGGAGGTCAGAGGGGCAGAGGGCCATCACATGGGGTCTGTGGGACACGGAGCGGCCTCGGCGGCTCTCACTATATTTCGCTTGGCAAGATGGACTGTTTTGAGCAGAGACGTGCCATTTTAGATCCCCCATCCACTACTGCAGGTCTATACGGTGTGGGGCGGGGGCAGTGAGAACAGAAGCAGGGGTCCAGGAAGGAGGCTGCTGCGGTAAGGCAGCTGAGAGACCACGCAGCCCGGATGGGACGTCTGGGAGGACAGCTCCCTGGGGGACACGTTAAGCGTGACATGCCTTCTGGACATCAAGTGGATGGGCAGTTGCTACCTGAGTCTGGAGTTCGGAGGAGACGTCCTGGCCCGAGGTACAAACTTGGGAGTCAGCCTCCGGGTGGAGCCACGAATGTGTATTTTATTTCAAAGACAATGGAAGGTCTCTGTGGTCTACCCCCCAGCTCTCCTCTCATCACTCCCCACACAGGCTGACGATGGCCCGTCTCCCAGCCTCTGCACTGGCGGCTCCCTCTGCCTACGGCTCCCTTCCCTCCTCTCTTCACACACCGGCTCCTTCTCCCCATCCTGCTCCCAGCGCCTACGGGGCCACCTCGGAGGCACCTTCACTGACCACCCATCCCGAACTGGCCCTCTCTGCCCTGCCTCCTTCTTTCACCACGACATGTAATGAACTACTGATAGGCTAGTTACCTCCCTGGCACTCACACGCGCGCACACACACAGACAGACACACAGACAGACAGACACACACACACACACACCCTGGAACAAAAGCCCCCCACAAGGCAGAGGGAGCCTGACTTCTCATTCAGCATCCTCGCGGAAGGCCCTTAACAACCTGCTTTTGAACACAAGGACTGAGTTGGTATTAAACATCCTAGGAACGAATCTCTAAAACGTCTTTATGTGAGCACCCGCTAATAAATCGAGGACCACTTAGCTTCTCCCTGCTTTGGGGGATCCCTTGGCATCCTTTCACACCAAACCGACCCCTTCCAGGCCCTCCTTCCCACAGCTGCCCTCACGCTCGCATCTCACCGGAGGGAGCAGAGGCAAGAGCCCCTGTGGCTCCCAGGGGGGCGTACAAGCCTGTGGGTCTCCCTTTTCAAATACATGTGATCATCCCAGCAAGGCTGTCCAGGGGGCACTTGTCAGCTCTGGGACACATTAGGTACAGCCAGCGGAACTGCCCGACACCCTGGGCAGGCCGCGGCTCACTGCCGTGAGGACTTCTTAAAAAAAACCCTGTAAATTTTTAGCTCTTTGACAGGTTAAAAGCAAAGTGAATGGATGAGAAAGCGACTTAATTTGGAGAAAAGCCACAGGGTCACAGACGTGTGGTGCTCCGGCTCTTCTGTCAGCCAGCTCCGTTTCAGAACCCCAGCCCCGCTGTGTGACCCTTAACCTCTTTGGCCTCAGCCTCTTACTCGGTGAAATGGGGTAATGGTGTGAACTTCACAGGGCTCCTGAGACCCTCAGAACATGCAGGTGAGCAGTCAGCCCGGAGCCTGGCACACGTCAGCATCCGGCGGATGGCAGCCGCCGCTCCCATCGATGCACACGGTGGGGGTAACCTCCAGCTCCCTAAGCAAGGGAAACGCGGCCGCGGGTCACAGGACAGGACCTAGAGCTACGACTTCTGCGGGGTCGCTGGTGTCTGGCCCATCGGAATGGTGCTCTGCGCCCTGGTGGCCTTCAACAACGACCCCTGCCTCCTTTTTTTCCTCGTGTACGTCTGTGGTTGCCTTCCTCCCAGGCATCGCTCCACCCTGGGTGGTCTGAGGAATCTAGAAATGTCTTCGCCGCATGGCTCTGTCCCACCAGGCCCCCCGGGGGCCTGCACCACTAGGTTTGGAGTATCCCATGGCGTCTGTTTCCGGGCGTTGCTGAGCCCGTCACAGTGCCAACAGGAAGTTAAATGTTGCCGTTTGACACACTCACCAGTTAAGTTTCCCAACTAAAGAAAGAAAAAGTGCGAGAAGCCTGACTGTATTTTCTTCACTGTCTGAACTTAGTGTGTTTTAATGGGTTTCCTCATGGAGGGTCTTCCCCAGTAGAAGAAAAGCTTTGGGGACAAGACAGAAGACTCTGCAGCATGGGTCCACAGTGAACACGTCAGAGGAACGCTCCTATTCAAGCGTGCCACCAAGAGGCCTCAGAACTCAGGGTTCCCTGGTCCGGGTGCACTCAGGTTTTTGGGGTCCTGAAACATATATAATTGGGGGACCCTCTTCAAGAAAAAGGATGCAGCATTAGGAATTTTTTTTAAAAATCAGGCGCTGGGCCTTGTAGGAAACCCCTCCAGTGAGGGGCCCTGAGGCATGGTTTTCAAGGCCTCAGGGTAACCCCCCCTGGACGTCCCAGATGATTTTCAAAAAGACGAGGAACCTGATCCAATGTTGGCCAGAAATGGTGGGTTGAGATTAAAATCAACTTTGGCACTTTCTACCTTGTGAGATTATTTTTTTAAGCTATATTCAATTTATCAAAGTCACAAGTTCAGCAAGTCAGAGCTTCGCTCAGCAGCTTACAAATCTTCCCAGACCGGGGATGAAGCGGCAGGTCTGAACAGCCACTTTGCTTCTAAGGGGTCTGTGCCCTCGAGGGATTCCGAAGCCCCCTGGGGGATCTAAGCAGCTCCCAGGCACCTCGGCTCTCTGAGCAGGAGGGGCAAAGGGAGCTGCACCCCTCACCCTGCACAGACTGGGGTGCTGGGGGCCTTGCTCAGGGAACCCTGGTCAACACCTTTCTCATGGGGAACGTCCCCACAACCTGGCCAGCTCCCACCAACAGGCCTCTCAATGCTCAAGAGATGAACCCTTTCTGTGATCTGAAAGCCCAGCCTGCTCAGGGCCCCCTGGACAGCCCCTGGATGGCCCCAGGGATCAGAGGGGTTGAAGACCCAGCCTGGGGCCACCCAGGAAATCATTGGCAGGTGGGGATGGCGCCGGGGACCAATCACAGCCCAGGGCCCCTTCCCCCGCCCGCCCTGGGAGGATGGGCAGGAAAGCCCAGGGGCCCTTCTCCAGGCCCTGCAGTTCCCGGAGAAGGAGGCACTTCCTGCACGCCCGTTTGCATAAGAGCTACTGCGGTCTGTCACCTCCCTCCTGCAGGCCAGGCCTGGCTGTCACCGTGTGCAGCCGACCCTAACCTCCCAGCAGAGACTGAGACACTGGAACAGGGGTGGCTGTGATGGAAATTATGCCCCACCACCCCAGGACGTTAGGGTAGAGGGTCCTCAGATGGCAGAGTGGGGAGACAGGTCCTCAGAGGTCACCTACAAGTCAGGGCAATGCCCCCAGCTTCCTCACAGAGGGATCTCAGCACAGGGTTCAAATCCCAGCTCCGCCACGTCTGAGCTGTGTGACCCGGGGCCAGGGACATGGCCTCTCTGAGCCTTACTTTCCCATCTGTAAAATGGAGAGAACAGGTGTTCCTAGCACTACTTCCAGTGGGGTTTATAAGACTGAAGTAACATGCTCGAATCATAATAGCTTATCTTTGTGAACGGTTCCTATGAATTCCTTCACCGGAACTACGTAAACCGTACGAGGGAAGTCCCATTAACAACAATGGGTCTCGTGTACACCATGCATGGCGGGTTATAAAGAACTTTTCTAGTCATTATACTCACTCACTTGTTCCTCACTTCTTTGCTCACTCATGCGCTCGTTCATTCATTCATTCAACCAACTATTCCAGAGCGTTTGCTATGTTACAAGCCCCAGGCTCAGCACTAGAGCTGGAGAAAAAGACCCAGTTCCTGCCCCCCCCACAGTCTGTTAGGAGAGGTTGGGGGGGCAGTTAAGATTCTGTGCGGTAAATGTTGGGATGGGGCACCCCCGGGAGGAGGCTGTGGGGGTGCAGGGGCCGGAGGGGAACATTGGAGGAAGTGGTGTCCACACGGAGACTCTGCAAAGCAGAGACCAGCATCTGAAGACCCTGGTGGGCTCCGGTTACAGAGCGTGGACACGACCTGGAGGGCGCTGGGGAGCCCCCGAGGGCTGGGGAGCGGGGCCGCTGGCTGGTCCGGGCAGGCGCACTCGGGGCTTGTGTGAGGGCGGGTGTGGAAGGGCCATGTATATGGCGGTCCTGGGGTGGGCGTGCAGGAGAGGGGCTGATGGGGTCCCAGGTTGGGGGGCAGAGCCCTCACTTCCCAAGCCCTGGCCTGGCCTCTGAGGGTGGGCGTGGGAGCCGCTCAGTGCCCGCGGGGAGCAGCCCCCCAAGCCTGGAGGGCCCCCTGGGCGCTGTCCTTGGTGCTGGGCGAGGCCCACCTGACCACGACCACCCCCGCTTGTCAAAAATGCAGAGTCCCAGGACCCGTGCCAAACATGTGACTCAAAACCTGTGTTTTAATCAGGTTCCCAGATGACTCAGGCACACGCTGCACCCACCATCCGCGGGGGAGGCAGAAACAGGTGTTTACGTTACCCGATGTGACGACAAATGCTCTGAGGGCCACAGGGAAAAAGAAATGGGGCCTGGAGAGCCTGTCGGGGAGCCGGCCGGGTCTGGAGGGAGGGCCAGACGGACTGTCCTGCAGAAGTGCTGTTTCCCTGAGACCCAAGAGAGCTGCTGGATTTTGTCAGAGACAGGTGGGCAAGAGGAGGCTCCAGGCTCCAGGAGAGCGGGGTGGGGGCTCTGAACTCTGTCACAGACATCTGAGGCCTGGCGGCTGGGGGACCGGGTGGGGGCTTCAGGCTGGTTGGTGGAGGACAGAGACCAGCAGCATGTGCTGGGCACTTAGTATGACTCAGGCACTGTGCTCGCCACCCCAGGACCGGAGGCTCAGTGTGGTCCAGGGACCCACAGCACCACCACTTGTCAGAAATGCAGGGTCTCAGGCCCCGCCCCACTGGAGCCAAAGCTGCATTTTAGGAAGACTGCTGGGTGATTCGCGCACACACTTAAGCTGCAGAACCCAAGTCTCAGGACATCCTTGCAAAGGCCGGAGAGGAGGCGCTGGGTAACACAGGGGCTCAGAGGCTGGAAGCTCAGAGGGGAGGGGTCTTCAAGGGCATGGTAGCCTCCTTGTCACACGGCGCCTGCGCTCCCCACCTCCACTCCCAGCCCAGGAACAGACGGCCACCGCCTGGGCATCTCAAGGCGGGTTTCACAACCTCACGGACAGGTGGAAGGAGGAGAGTCCTGTCTGCCAAATGCCAAGGAACTCAGCTCAGAGCAGAGTCGTCCTGCACGCATCTGTTCATCTGTCATGCTCAAATCAAACCCCAACGACCATGCTCACTCTACAGACGGGGAGAGAGGCTCAGAGAAACAAAGCAACTGGCCCAAAGTCACACAGCCAGTGACACGGAGGATTCAAATACAAGCTGTCTCCCAAGTCTGGGTTTTTGCCTCTGCTTCCTTCCAGTCTGAAAATTAAACGCATGTGGAATTTGAACCTAAAGCCTTGCCCCAGCCGAGACCCACAGACCCCAGACCCATAACAACAAGAAGCCCAAGGCAGCTTGTTAAAGGGCTGGGGGCGTAGCTTAAACACACACACCCACCGTGAGCTGCATATGGTCGTGTCCACTAGTGCAAGTGTCGAGCCACTGGCACAGAACACGTGCGAAGGAAGGAAGGAAGGATGCCCTGGCACCTCCACGTTCCAACATCCAGCATGCACGGGTGTCACCTCCTGTTCCACCTCGAGGTCTTCCCACCTGCACTCACCCCTTGGCCCATGGCCCCAGGAGAGCCCACCTTGCCCTGGGAGACCACTCCACCCGCCACCCCTGCCAAGTTGGGCAGATGCCCCAGCCCCACTCGCTCACAGCCCTGGGAAAAGACACTTTGCATCTCTGGCCCCTGGCCATGGTGATTGGCTCAGATCTGGGCACGTGACCCCATCTGAGTCAACGAGAAGCAGGTGGCTTTTTGCTGAGATGAGTAGAATTAAAAGGTGTAAATCCTGATTGTCTTTAATTCTGCCGTGGATACAATCAAATTGAGACCAGAGGCCACAAGCACCTTGAGACCGCCAGGATCTGAAATGGATGCTTTGAGAATACAGTGCACTGGACCAACAATGCGCCTTTGTCCAGACAAGAGAAAGTGGCTCTCGACATGTCAGGGTCCACAAAACCCAGCTGAAACTTAAGTCTGTTTACTAAAGAGAAGGAAGTTATCCTGGATGATGAGAGGGTTTGTTTTAAAGTTCCAAGACCGTAACCTTGAGACTCTAAATGTTTACTTTAGGCAACTACATCTGTTAGAAAGTTTGTGGTAGAGAACTATTCACTTGTGTGGGAAACTCTTTGCTATAATTCAGCCTGAAGCTTCCTCATCAATTCTGTGATGATCAACTTGCTGCCCAGGACGCGGCACTCACCTCGATCTAAATAACTCCACCACCATCTAAGACTGAACACACTCTCCTGGGGTAAGGGACACAGTTCAAGGCATTCTTCCCCAGAAAAAAGTAACCTACATAGCTTCTTAAAAATTAAGGTTAAAAACACAATGTAGGGGCCGTGGCGTGGTGGCTAAGTTCGGCACTCCATTTTGGTGGTCTGGGTTCGCAGGTTCAGATCCTGGGTGCAGACCTAATGACTCGTCAGCCATTTTGTGGCAGTGTCCCACATATAAAGTGGAGGACGACTGGCACAGTTGTTAGCTCAGGGCTAATCTTCCTCAGCAAAAAAAAAACAAAAAACAAAAAACCCTGCAATGTAGCATTTTCCTTGACAGAAATCTGAGGCTGCTGCCCACCGTCTTGCCTGAGGCTGGAACTACTAGCACAGAGGAAGCAGAGTCGAGAGTGGGGCCTCATGTCAACATGGGAGCCCCCAAATCCAGCTGCCCCACAACTGACTCATCTTTGGGTGCCCAGCAGTGGGCATGATGGTGGCATTTAACAGGTCCTCAGTGTGTGTCTGGGGTTCCAAGCACAGAGGCCAGCAGCATGCTCCATGTGAGGAGTCAGAGCAAGGCAGGGGGGGCCCACGAGCTCTTCACTCCCACCCTTGTCCTCGCTCTGGTTCTAATCTCCCGATCCTAGTAGGAGCAGATGTGGCTCCCTCCCTCCTAGGTGAGAACATCTTGTCCAGAAGGGACCAGAAGAGCTAAAACAAGTACAGGTTTGCCTCAGGCAAGGGGGCAACCCAGGGGCCCTTCCAGAGCCACCTGCACTCAGAGAAAGGGGTGAATGGGCAGAGAAATCCCAAGGGCCACCACCCACCCAACACCAAACCCCGCTCCAGATCTTACCGAATGGTGGGCTGGTCTCCGCTCAGCTGCTTAAACCGTCGGTGGAGCTGCTCGATCTGGTCTGATGAGACTGAGGAGGCGAAAGACAACAGAGAGAAGGGCATCACGGACCACCGAACTCAGAGCCACAGGAGGGAGGTGGAGACCCCTCTGCCTCATCCCCGCCCCCCGTCTGTTCACTCTCTGGCCGTCTCTCCCCACCGCAAAACCGAGCGCAGGAGGACGGAGCAGAGGGTCTCCCGTTCCTCCTGGTAACGCGGCTCTGGGGCCACTAGCGCTGTCTCCCTCAGCAAGGATGCACCTGCTCCCAGCATCCACAGCCCCCGGGACAGGACGCACACGAACCAGGCGATTTTCTCCTTCCCCAGCCCACTAAGGAGACCAAATCCACTTGTCTGCCCTTCTCCTCTCCATCCGTGAAGATGCTGTTTCCCCAGCTGAGAGAGGGGATTTGTAGAGTCTGTATGAAGAGGCGGAGGAATGTAGAGGGGAGAGGCTGGTTTAGGCGGGAGCTGGAGGAGACGTGAGGGCCCTGTAGTGAGAAACGTGTGGGGGATCTGGTGCAGCAGAGAAGTGAAGGAAAAGAAATGGGATTTTGAGAACTTCTGCCGTCGACAAGGCATTTTGATTCCCCCAATAGTTTCAGAAAACCAAAGCACACGAGGGGTTGTTTAATGATCATTTTTGGCTGGTGGCCTTGTTTCTGCCACAGCTAAGACTGGACCTTGTGGGCTCCAGGTTTTCTAAGGGTTCCAGCCACACGTGAGTGCTGATTTTACGAAATGCACAATATTAACGCTTACAGGCACCTTCTCACTCCATCATCAAACAACCCTATGACTGAGCAGTCATGTCTTTGTTTTATAATTTGAAAACTGCAGCTCTGAGTGCTTACGATCACACAGAGGCTGGCGCTGGCTGGCAAGTACTCATTAGGACTGCCGACCGGTACTGAGGGCTCGCTGTGTGCCAGGAGCACACCTCCACACATCAGCTCATGTCTTCCTCACCCCCTGGGGGGTGCTGTATCCCCATGTTACAGATGTCGAAGCTGACACTCGGAAAGGCTGGGTAACCCCTGAGGGCAGCTTTCTAGAGGGAAATATGGTCATTTGTATGACATGGATGTCAGCAAGGACATTCACATACTTGATGGCCCAGCAATTCCACTCCCAGGTACGTACCCAACAGAAATGCATACTTGTGCTCAGCAGACGATATGTAGAAGGATGTTCACAGGGTGATGTGAATCGCCCTAAACAGGAAACTGTCCAAATGCCCAGCAATGGCAGAACAGATGAAGTGTTCAGGTGTGGGCTATCCAAACAATGGAATAGTACACAGCAACGAAAAGGAACAAACACTATGTGCAATAACTTGAGTGAGTATAAAAAACATAACAACAAGCAAAAGAAAGCAGACCTGAAAGAGCACACACTTCATGATTCCATTTACGTCATGTCCAAAAACAGGCACAACTCACCCACAGTGTGAGAGGTCAGGACAGACCACATACTGTACAATTTCAACCATATGACATTGTGGAAAAGGCAAAACTACGGCGACAGTAACAAGATCAGGGGTTTCCAGGGGTGGGGGTGGGGGGCGAGGGATGAGCAGGCAGAGCACAGAAGATTTTGGGGCACTGAAACTACTCTGTGTGACACTATAATGGGGGGCACATGCCATTATACATTTGTCCGCACCCACAGAATGTAAACACCAAGAGTGAGCCCTAAGGTAAGACAGGGGCTCTGGGTGGTAATGACGTGTCAGTGCTGGTTCACTGATTGTATCAAATGTCCCACTCTGAGAGGGAGGCCGCGCATGCGTGGGGGCAGAAAGTATATGGGAACTCTCTATGCCTTCTGCTGAATTTTGCTGTGACCCAAAACTACTCTAATAATAATAATGATGATGATGATGATAATAAAGTCTTAATTAAAAATTTAAAAAGTCAGGATAGTGGTGACCCTTGAGGAGGGGATAATAATGTGAATGGAGCACAGGGGAGGGGGGTGGAGGGAGGCAGCCTCTGGGTACCAGCAAAGTTCTTTCCGGATTCAGGAGTGAATTACACAGTTGTGTTCTCAGAACCTTCATGGAACCGTATGCTGATAACGGATCCACTTTTCTGTTTGTGCTACTGCAATAAAAAGTTTACTTAAAAAACTCAGTAATTCCACTTGGCAAGAATTTATCCTGAAAAAATAAACCAAGCAGGTACAAAAAGATGAATACACAAATGTGTTTCCCTCTGCATTCTTTATAAGAGCTTAAAAACCGGACTTAACCCAAGTGCCCAGCAACCACCAACGGGCCACCTCATGGTATGTTCAGGCAACTAAAAAAGAGGCACGCTGTCTTTAAAAGTGACCCTTGTGTATTTGACATGAAAATACATCCTACACAGAACGTTGTCTACAAACAGCTTCCTAGAAAAACAGCATGACCACATGTTGGGGAAAATATACAAATACAGACAAATGTATATAAGTTATGAAAGAAAATTTGGACTTGATTTTCCCCAAAACAGCAATTACCTCCAATAAATGGATTAAGGATTTTGTTTTGCTTCGATTCATCTATATTTTCCAAATTTTCTCTAATATACAAAGTATATGTATATTTTTAAGATTGGCACCTGAGCTAACATCTGTTGCTAACCTTTTTTTTTTTCCCCTTCTTCTTTTTCTCCCCAAAGCCCCCGGTACATAGTTGTATATTTTAGTTGTGGGTCCTTCTAGTTGTGGCATGTGGGACACAGCCTCAGCGTGGCCTGATGAGCAGTGCCATGTCCGCACCCAGGATCCGAACCAGCGAAACCCTGGGCCGCTAAAATGGAGTGTGCAAACTTAGCCACTCGGCCACGGGGCCAGCCTCCTATACAAAGTATATCTACTAGTCATGTAATGAATATGTTAAGCACACAATCGGGTCCCCTTTGGGACAGCTGAGGGATCTCAGAAACACCGGCACTGGAGAGCCATTCACTGGCTAAGGCCTGTCCCAGGCTCACGCATTCTTATTTGATCCTTTCCACGACCCTATGAGGGACGGGCTACCTCCATCTTACAGAAGAATAAACTGAGGCTCTGTGGGGCTAGGTCACCTGCTCAAGGTCACTAAACCTGAGAGAGGCAGACCCAGGCCTTAAACCCAATTCGTCTGGCAGAACACGTGTGGGGTTTCTTTGGTTCTTAGCTAGTTTGTCAAGTGGTTATTTTTTTCCTGACACCCCGCACCGCCTCCCTTCGGGTGATCACAGGCAGCTCCCAGCTCTGACCTGAAGGTCAAAAAAATACACTGATCTGATGAGAAATAATGAGCAGTAATCACAGCCAAACACGGGCGCTCCTAAACCACCCCTACGACGACGAGCTCCCTGAAAACGCCATGCCAAGTGAGGGGGCCAGGCACAAAGGCCACGCGTGGCATGAGTCCACTTGTGTGAACTGCTCAGAGAGGCACATCCATAGAGATGGAGAGCAGGGCAGCGGTTCCCTGGGGCCGAGGGAGGAGAATGGGGGTCTCTGCAAAAGGTACCAAATTTCTTTCGGCGGGGAGGAAAATGTTCTAAAATTAGATAGTGGTGATGGCTGCACAACCCTGTGATTATAGGAAAAACTTCTGAGTATGGTACACTTCAAATGGGTGAGATGTGTGTGAGTTACATCTTAGTAAAGCCACTAAAAAATAAATTACATGCATAATCATGACAACCACAAGAGGTGACATTAATTGAGCATTTACTGTGTCCTGGGCACTGTGCTCAACTCTACTTTTTTTTTTTTTTTGGTGAAGAAGATGGTTGCTGAGCTAACATCTGTGCCCATGTTCTTCTATTTTGTATGTGGGACACAGCCACAGCATGGCTTGATGAGCGGTGTTGCAGGTCCACGCCTAGGATCCAAACCCATGAACCCCAGGCCACTGAAGCAGAGCGTGTGAATTTAACCACTGCACCACCAGGCCAGCCCCTCAGCCCTACTCTTGATAAGCCCTGGCTCCCATAACCCTCTCATCAATCCTATCACGTGGGGACAGTTTTATCCCCCTTTTAAAGATGGGGACACTGAGACTTGCCCAAGGTCACAGACAGGAAGAGGAGGAATCATCATAGACCAGGGTCTCTAAGGAGGAGTTCCCAGCTGATTGCATCAGAAGTGCACGCGCACTCACTCACGTGCACACGCACCTTCCCATCACACCAGATTAAAGCAGAAGGCTGGGGAGACAACCTCCACCTCTGTGCCCCTTTTCCACGCCCAGACCCCAGAGCCAAGACCTCCATGCTCAGCTTAGGGAGCACGGCCTCAGGCACTGACTTTCAAGACACCACCCGCACCCTCGGCTCCAGCCCCCAACTGACCCTGGGCCCCCAGCGGGTCTGTCCCATGGCAGCTGATAACACCTGCGCCTGTGTCCTCACCCAGGACTGTGCAAGGCCCCGTCTGTGGCTCCCAGGATGGAAGCTTCTCCACTCTCCCTGCTGCCTACTCTGAGCCCTTCCTCCGGCCCCCGTGAGGTCACAGTTGCCATGGGGACGAGGGCAGACTGGCTGCTTTGGTGTCCGACATCTCGACCTCGTTCTCTTTGGTTTTAGATTTCAACCTGAGAGAAATGCACACCCTTCCCCTGGGCTGGTGGGAGTTTAATTGGCCCAGCCTTTGCGGGGGTGACTGTCACTTTGTATCAAAAGTTTTTTAAAAAAGTGTATGCCTGTGCCACTCAATAGATACCAGCCACACGTGGCATGAAGCCCTTGAAAGTCCCAGCTGAGATGAGCCGAAGCGTAAAATACATGCCGACTTCTGAAGACTCGATACAAAAAAGAACCTGTCTCTGTAAACAGTCTCAATAAGCTTTATATTGATTACATGTTGAAATAATATTTTAGATATAATGGGCTACACACAATATATTATTAAAATTAATTTTACCTGTTTCTTTTTTCTTAAACGTGGCTACTGAAAGACTCAGAATTACATTACATATATGGCTCCTAGAAAATTTCGAATTATTCCACCTCGCAGGGTGTTTGTAGTGGACAGTGCTGGTATATGAGCT